CTTTGCTAGGTTGATTGAGTTTTCCCAACCGATCCACATGTGTTTTGTGGATTTGGAGAAGGCTTATGACCGTGTCCCCAGAGGCACCTTGTGGGGGGCACTCCAGGAGTATGGGTTGGATGGTTTTTTGCTAAGGGCCATTCAGTCCCTGTGCCAGATTAATTTGAGTTTGGTCAGCATAGCCGGCAGTAAGTCAGACCTGTTCCCAGTGAGGGCTGGACTCCACCAGGGCTGGCCTTTGCCACCGGTCCTGTTCATAACGTTTATGGACAGGATTTCTAGGTGCAGCTGTGGTGTTGAGGGTGTGGAGTTTGGTGGCAGGAGAATCTCATCTCTGCTTTACGTGGATGATGTGGTCCTCCTAGCATCATCAGGCTTACCTACAGCTCTAGCTGGGAAGGTTCGCAGTCGAGTGTGAAGTGGCTGGGATCAGGATCATCACTTCCAAGTCTGAGACCATGGTTCGGCATGCCAACTCCGGGTCGGGAGAGAGGTCCTGCCTCAAGTGGAGGAGTTCAAGTATCTTCGAAATCTGGGTGTTGTGATTGATGAACACCTGATCTGTAAAGATCATGTTGCCTCTGTTGCTCATTAATGCCGCTTTGCGCTATACGAAAGATCAGACCATACCTAACACAACATGCCACCCAGCTCCTGGTGCAATCTACTGTAATCTCCAGCCTCGATTACTGCAATGCCCTTCTAACTGGTCTTCCAGCCTGTACTGTGAGACCTCTTCAAATGGTCCAGAACGCAGCAGCGCGTCTGGTCTTCAATCGGCCAAAAAGAGCACACGTCACCCCTCTGTTCATTGAGCTCCACTGGCTACCGCTAGCAGCACGCATCAAATTCAAATTGCTAACACTAGCATACAAAGTCCGAGATGGTACGGCTCCCATCTACCTGAATCCTCTTGCAAAGGCTTACGTCTCGGCCCGGCCGCTTCGGTCATCACAGGATCGTCGGCTAGCAGTGCCTACACAACACTCAGGACAATCCAGACTCTTCTCATGCATCGTTCCACAAATGTGGAATGACCTACCAAGCACTAACAGAACTGTGGCTTCCTTTTCAATTTTCAAGAAACTCCTGAAGACCCTGCTCTTCAGAGAGCATCTTCTAAACTAGCACCTTCCCTGCACCCATCCCCCCACCTCTGTCAACTCCTTGTTCCCTCCTCTCCATGACTGATGTCAAGTTGTTGTTGTTATTGTTGTTGTTAGCCACAATATATATATATATATATATATATATATATATATATATATATATATATATATATATATATATATATATGTGTGTGTGTGTGTGTGTGTGTATGTATATTAGGGATGCTCCGATCAGGTTTTAATCTGCCGATCACCGATACCGATCAGCCAAGAGGCCGATCAAGAGGTAAGCGCCAGTGCCAGATCGGAAATGAAAGGCAGTGATCGGCGATCACAGATCACACACTTTTGCAGGAAAATCGGCCGATAATTATCTGTGGCCGATCAATCGGAGCACCCCTAATATATATATATATATATATATATATATATATATATTGTTTTAGTTTTTGTGAAGCGCCTCATGATTTTTATCTTGAGAGGCGCTATAGAAAAGATCGTTTTATTTTTTACTCTGTTAGTGGACATAATTCTTGATACCCTTTGGTCAATGAAAGAAAAACCCACAACGGTCACAGAAAAGCTTGAATCTGACAAAAATAATAATAAATACAAATTCTATGAAGTGTAACGAGTGAAAGTCAGACATTGCTTTTCAACCGTGCTTCAACAGAACTATTTAAAACAATAAAGTCATGGAACAGGCCTGGACAAAATGACAGTACCCCTAGAAAAGACTGAAAATATTGTGACCAAAGGACATGTTAATTCAAGATGTGTCCACTAATCAGCATCGCAGGTGTCTACAATCTTGTAATCAGTCAGTGGGCCCATATCTAGGGCTCCAGGTAGTCACTGGGTTGTTTGGTGACATGGTGTGTACCACACTCAGCATGGACCAGGGGAAGTGAAGGAAAGAGTTGTCTCAGGAGATTAGAAGTAAAATTATAGACACGCATGTTAAAGGTAAAGACTAGAAGACCATCTCCTAGCAGCTAGATGTTCCTGTGACTACAGTTCCACATATTCATCAGCAATTTCAGACCCATGGGACCGTAGCCAACGTCCCTGGACATTGCCGCAGGACGGAAATTGATGACAAATCAACATGACAAATACAGTGAAACATGGAGGAGGCCCTGTTACTTTCTGTGGCTGCTTTGCTGCATCTGACACAGGGTGTCTTAAATTTGTGCCGGCTATCTCAACACTATCAAGGGATTCTAGAGAGAAATGTGCTGGCCAGTGTCGGAAAGCTTTGTCTCAGTTGCAGGTCATGGGTCTTGGAACAGGACAACGACCCAAAACACACAGCTAGAAACACCCAAGAATGGCTAAGAGGAAAGCATTAGACTATTGTAAAGTGGCCTCCTGTGAGCCGTGACCTCAATCATATTGAGCTTCTTTGGAAGAAACTGAAGCATTGTTGTCTGAAAAAAGCGTGCCCCTCAAACCTGTGACAACTTGGACCAAAGTCAAGGTGAGAAGAGAGGTGCAGAAGCCTCACTGACAGTTACAGGAATTGTTTGATTGCAGTGATTGTCGCAAAAGGTTGTCCAACAAAATATGAAGTTAGGGGTACCATCATCTTTGTCCAGGTCTGTCCATGAGTTTTATTTTTAAATAATTTTGTTGAAGCACGGTTTATTCAGTTCTCTTCTCGGCTAGCTGCTATAGCAGGAGATGTCCCCAACTGAAAGGGGTGTCAGGGCGAGCATAACGGGCACAAGTCAATCACGTTCACTCCTTTATTGACGTTTGACAAGTCAACATGCAACATTTGCTCCGTCATAGAGGCTACAGGTCTCTCTGCCTTTGTTAGCACACCTGTTGCGTCATCTATTCACGTCTCAAAAGAGCAAATAACTTGTGAGTTAATAGCGAATATTGGTAGTGAGTACTGGTTAGGTTGTAAACCTATAATGGAACACACACACACACACACACACACACACACACACACACACACACACACACACACACACACACACACACACACACACACACATACACACACAGGCACTTGCATTAACAAAATAAATCACTAACATTACAAACTATTTATAAACATTTATTGTACGACTCACCGTTGCTGCATCTCAAACCTGACCATCAGGCGACTAGAGCAAAGCCTCTGTGCATTAAATATAGGCAAGCCAGTATGAGCAGTAAGTTTCTACATCATGAACAGCTTGCCATATGTTTCCCGTTCATAATTAACCTAAACTTGAATGAAAAAATAATTTCTCATAACAAATTGCAGCATAGCACACAAAAATGCTATGAAAGGCACAATATTTGTAACACACTCATATAATCATGATGCTTTCACGGGAATGCTCTACATGGTTAAAAAAGCAATCGCTGACTTTCATTGGTTAAATTTCATGGAATGTTTAGTTTAGTCAAGTTCAAGTTATTTCTGACCTCTGTGGGTTTTTCTGTCATTGACTGAAGGGTACCAACAGGTTTGTCCACATTTGTAAGTGGACACAGGGCCTTAAGAGGTGAAAACACCCTTTTACTAAGTTTTTGTGGTTTTTGTTATGTGGGTTATGTGGGAAAACTGATTGTTCTCTGGAGCTTTGGAGCCTTTTGATCTCTGAACGATTCATAGATCAGATCCAGCTGTCTTCACATGAAAAAACCCAACATTCCTGTGCAAATGGTCAGATAGGAGAAGCAAGCAGCCAGAGTCTGTGTCTGATCGGAGCGAGTTTTCTTTCTCTTTTCCAGGGTTCCTCTCAGTCCTCGTGTTTTATTGTGTTTTTTTGTTGATTCATGTGTGAGCGCATGTGAACCATTCTCTCTGCACTGAAGGCGCCTTTGAGTAACAGAACATTCACTTTCTGTGGGTTTTTTGTGTCTTTTGAGAAGTGATACATTCCTACTAACAAAAATAGTCAGGGGGAAAGAAAGTCCCAGTCTGTGTTTGAGCCCTCCAGAATAAAAGCTGTCAGAGAAAGAGAATGAGTGTGTGAGCATGAGGAAACCGAAAAGGGGCCATCTTTTCACTGAAGTGGCCATGTCTAATTTCTCCACATTGATGAATGAAAAGGTTTTTCAGAAGGGTCAGGAACTCTTGGGATCAGAGGCCCGTCAAAGTGAAAGTTGTTTTTATTTCTGTTTGCTCCCTCCTACCCAGTCAATAGATATTTAAATGAGCTTTCACCTCAGAGAAAGTTGAGCACGCAGCTGCCTACTCCACACCACAACTAGTCTTTTTATAGAAAATGGTTGTCAGTGTCTCAGTTAGAACCTGGAGACTTAAAGCTTCTTACCGGAGTATTTCTCTTATCCGATGGCACCATCTAGTGGCTGACTAGCATATCACACAAAATGTCTATTCCTCCGTTTGTTTAAGATGGCGACTTTATGTTTCTGTTCATAAATGTGCTTCTGTAGCCGACAAACAGAGCTAAAACACGCTGTTTTACACGTATTATTCTCATGTCATGTTGTGTTCTCATATATTTATATTTTAGAGACTTACTAGTCCGTGAAAAGTTCATCAACTCTGCATCAGCCGAGGTATTCCTTAAAAATGAAGCATCTAAGCGGTAGTCTAACGCTAGTGGTTAGTTCTGGTCGGTGCTCAGTTTCCTATAGCACGGACCTCTGCGGGGCAGGGGGCGTGGTTAGCAAAAAAAAAGGTATTGCTTACATTATATGACAGCACATGATGAGATAATCACTTTTACGGATTTCAGAAAAATCATACATAATTTCTGAAAGGGGAAAACTCCGGAAATCAGCTTTAATTCAAATCGCTTGTTGCTTTTATTTTGTTTCATCTTTTCTGTTGTTGGCTCCACCCTCTATGTTGGGTTTAATGAGCAGACCGCTCACATGAAAACCAGCCTGCCCACGTTATTTCTCTTCCTGTCCCAGGTGATCAGTGTCAACGGCAGCAACAGACAGACTCTGCTTGAAGACAAGCTGCATCATATCTTTGGCTTTACTCTGCTGGGTGATTATATCTATTGGACCGACTGGCAGAGACGCAGCATTGAGCGAGTCCACAAAACCACTGCTGTACGAGAAATCATCATCGATCAGCTGCCAGATTTAATGGGGTTAAAGGCCACTAAAGTGGCGGTGACTCACGGTGAGTCTTGCAGATTTCAAATATATATTTTAAAAATCATTAGTGAGGCAAAAATGTAAAAGAAACATTAAAATGTGGTCCACAGGTACCAACGGGTGTGCAGTGGATAATGGAGGGTGCAGCCACCTGTGTTTCTGGTGTCAGCGGGCCGTCCGCTGTGCCTGCCCCATGGGTCTGGAGCTCCTCTCGGACCTCCACACCTGTGTGGTTCCTGAGGCCTTCCTGCTCTTCACCAACAGGTACAACCTCCTACTGTCCTCATGAATGTGGCGGGACTTATTCACTAATAAACAGGAGTTCCATTGAACTGGCTTTATTTGGGTTGATGAACAGACTGACTTGAGCTTGTTTATTGAACTGATGTCTCATTCGTCGGTCTCCTCAGGGACAGCATCCGCAGCATCTCTTTGGGCACAAACAGCAATGATGTGGCCATTCCTCTGACAGGAGTTAAAGAGGCGTCGGTCCTTGGGTTTGATGTTTCTGAAAAGAGGATTTACTGGACAGATATCCAGGCCAAGGTGGGCCAGGCTTTGGAAATGAAGTCATATTCATATTTATGTGGTTTGGAGCGAGCTCATTACAATCTCTCTTTTCATTCCTCCTGCTGTCTTTCAGAAAATTAGCCGAGCTTTTATGAACGGCAGCTCTGTGGAACATGTCGTAGAGTTTGGACTGGATTACCCAGAAGGCATGGCGGTTGACTGGATGGGTCGTAACATCTATTGGGCAGACACAGGGACGAACCGCATTGAGGTGGCCCAGTTGGATGGCCAGTACCGACAAGTTCTAGTCTATAAGGACCTCGACAACCCGCGCTCACTGGACAACCCACGATCCCTAGCACTGGACCCAGCTAACGGGTACGATCCATTAATGTTAGCTGACCTTTACTGCTTATCTCTGCCTCCAAAGGTCTCACTGGTGTTGTTTTTAGGAACAAAGGGAAGAGAAAACCAAATACTAGTTAAGTAGCACGTATAACGCAAGCTGAGTCTATTTACCATCAACGTTTTCTGTTTAATCCTCCAAATATTTATTGTTTCATTTAAAAGCTGAATGCTGGATGCTGATAAACACCAAACCTAAAGAAACTAAAGAGTGTCTGCCACAGAAACAGCAGCCTGTTATCCTCATCTACTTATTTTATTCTTATTTATTTGGAACTGTACTGTAGGCTAATTTAAAACCCGGTCTGAGCTGCAGGCCAACATAAGTCAGTGTTTCTAGAAAAATAAAAACGTGAACTTTTCTAGTTTTGCAGTTTTTTGGTGATAAAATATAAAATGTCAGTGCAGAAAAGTAACCAAACAACAGGTATGCAGGAAAATAATTCACACTGAAAGCATCAACATTCCTGCTTCCCTAACCCAATCCAGTCTATGGAGTGTTTCAAACCAGCTGCCCTAAGGAAAGGATCGGGCTGTATATCTTCGCGAACCGCTTCTCACCGTAAATTTCCAGTTAACATGGGACTAGACAGGAAGTCACACAGTTTCAGAGTAAAATTCCCAATAATTTTCTAAACTAAAGTACTGCAGCAATGCAGTTTCATATACGTGAAGCTTACGTGAGACCCAAGGGTTTATTTACTCCCAGCATCGTTCCAGAAGTGCAGCGGTGATTTTCATGGCTTTAATCCTGGCAGTGGAGAGCAACAACATCATGTATGACAGCAAACAGCGATGACTTCCTTCTTTTGGGTTTAATGGTGTATTGCCTAAACAAACCGTGACCTTTGAAGTCTCGGGGGATCGTGTGATCTCGTGAGTCCAGCGAAGAGCACAGCGAGGAACCCGTTCTGCTGCTGTATCGCACTGCTGATGTTTCCAGTGTGAAACCGGGGTCAGTCTTTATTGTTGGTACTGGACGGAGTGGGCATGAGAGTTGTGTGGTTCTAGTTTCAAGAAAAGCTTTTCAGTCGTGAGTCCTACAACAACTCAGATCAACTTAGTGATGAGTGGCCTTTTGGTGCTTGAAGCGTTTTCTTAATCTGCCGATGTCAGGCAGGAACACACCGAGTAGAACTTCCTTTTGATAACTTCAGTTCTTCTGACTGCTCTCATTTCAAATAATGCTGTCAGGTTTCTCACCAAAAACTAAATTATAGGAGCAAAAGCGCACAAACACCAAGATCAGGCACCTACTTGGGTCTGAATTCACAGATTGCTGGCAGATGATGACTTTTCATCGGTCATTCTGGCGTGATGTTGCATTTACTTACAGACACCTTCCATCATTGTAAGCGCTGCAGTTTGTCCTGTTTAAAAAATAACCAACGTCTCTAAATTTGACCCTACTTCAGCACACCTGCACACTTAAAACGTGTTTACAATAAGTCACAACAAGTGTGATGTTTTAACTAAGTATGTTCAAAGTAGATTTTAACTGTACAGAAATTTAAAAAAGTACTATTTTACCTGCATGAACCTTAAAGTTGCCCACTTCTCTAATGTTAAAAGCAGAATTGCTATCGTAAACAATGCTGCCGTAGCCTAACTACAGGCTAAACACGAAAGTTGTCCCGCTTACAACAAGTTCTAAAGTGTGCAGCTAGAATACCCACCCGTGCTAACATGACCCCGTTCTAAAAGTTCTTCATTGGCTCCCAAATTCTTCTCGCATCAGTTTTAAATTCTTGTGCTGACTTTCAGAGCGCTGCATGGTCAGGCTCCACTGTACGCTGGAGACGTGCTCTGTCCTTACATGCCTTCTCGAAGGTTGAGGTCGTTGAATCAGAATCTTTTTATAGTCCCCGTTCTCGAGTCAAGACACGAGGAGGTCGCTGGTTCCAGGTCGTCGCGCCAAGGCTCTGGAATCAGTTACCTCTGTTCTTACGTTCACTCGACTCAGCTGATGCTTTTAAGAGCAATCTGAAAACGCGTTTTTTTCTACGGGCATTCTAAACCTGTTTTGTATGCGGACTGGCTGTGTACGACTTTTATGTATACTGCGACTGTGTTTTATAGTAGCCTTGTTATGTGTCATTTTAACTTGTGAAGCACTTTGTGACCTTTTTGTCTGTGAAAGGTGTTATACAAATAAAGCTCACTTACTTACTTACTAATGTCAACACCAGCCAACTGATACTAAATAAGCCAGGAGGTAAAAAGATCCACGCCGATGGACATAGTATAGTTTTACTGACACGTCCAGTATACAACGTCTTCTTCTTCTTCGTATTCTTCTCTTTTTATTGATAGTCGGTAGACAGAAACATCTAACTGCTAGCCTTTAGCTGCTGGCACATTAAACAGCTGTTGCCCTAGGTGCCACTAGTGTTCCTGCCTAAACCACGACACTGTTAGATGCTGTCTCTGGCCAGCAGACGGCGACAGAGTGCTGTTTGTGGCTCAAGAACCTCTGAATCCAGTCAATAGCTTTAAGTGTAAACTCTTTCTAGGTTCATGCAAATCTATGTGCTCATTTATATATTTCCAACATATTCGTGGCACTCTTGGGACATGCTTTGATTCTTTTGAACTTAGTAAAGACAAACATTTGTTAAAGTAAAATTCAAAGAGTACATGTAGGACTTTAGCACCATCTCCTCTGACCATTTTAAGGTGGTCTGCTGCGTTTTTGTCCACTTGGTGTTTTTATTTTATTTTTTCAAGTCAAGATTGGGAATGCCTGGAATTACCAACAAACAGTAACTGGAAGTTTGGGAAAGACAACAAAAGCTGCAGTGTACGTTATGGTAAAAGCTCCTGCATTTCCGCGACCCTTCTCCGAACAGGAAAGTCATCTCCGGGATTACAAAACGAATCTAAGAGATGAGTTGGTGAAATAAAAGATCTTGTATCAAACCCGTCTTTACCTGCGTAGAATAATAAATTACTCAGGTGTTTCCTCCGTCTGAAGCAGGCTTTTTTGTCCCCTGTAGTTATATGTACTGGACAGAATGGGGGGGTCGTCCACGTATAGCCAGAGCTTACATGGATGGTAACACCATCATTACCCTGGTGGATAAAGTGGGCCGTGCCAACGGACTGACCATTGACTACGTAGAACATCGACTCTACTGGACGGATCTGGATACGTGTATGATTGAAAGCTCCAACATGCAGGGTACGTTTTCACAGACAGAACAAGCCCATGCCACAGAACTCTGGCTCAGTTCTCTACAGTCCTGTCCTCCTTATGTGGTCTCTCACAGGTCTGCAGAGGGAGATCATAGTGGATGACCTCCCTCATCCCTTCGGCCTGACTCAGTACAGGGATTTCATCTACTGGACAGATTTTAACCTGCGCAGCATCGAGCGGGCCGACAAGCGCGGTGGCTTCAACCGCACTGTGGTACTTCAGGTATGAGACCCGCTTCAGCTTCTGTCTCAGTTTAAAGGTGTGGTTAATTGAAAAACTTGCGTCTGATAATAATGGGCCACTCTGAGTATTTCATTCAGCCTGAACATGAAAATAGTCTCCTACACCTCTCCTGCATTAGCCTCTGATAGAAAAATGACCATGATCCAAAGGGTATGGAATGAAGGCAACTGGACTTCTTTGGCTTCTCATCTAAGGAGCTTTATCGGTTCTGAAGATGGGAGGGACACCCAAACAGAAGCTTGGTGGTGTCGTTTCTGCAGTCCAGTGCAGTGAGGACTGTCCAGACCTTTACAAAGGGGACACTAGACAACAACACAGGAGAGCCACCTCTTCAGGTCAACACTCTGTCGTCCCCCTACACCTGAAGCACAAGGGACTCAACAGACACAAGGCCTTCTGTGTTTACTGGCTTTTGTTTACATGTTTGTGTCATCAAACATGCCACGAGAATCAGATGTCATAACACAAATGCCCTTGTGGAGAACAAACATTTAGATGTGAGAGGATGAGCATCCTGTCCCTGGATCCCGATTGATCATGCACCCTGGCTACTCGCCACGGGGATGTCCCTTTGGCTGACTGGTTAGCGCGCTTGCCTCCCACCCAGGAGTCTGGGGATCGAATCCCACTCGGGTCCTCCATCTTGCCACATAAGAATATAAAAAGACCTTAATAACTCCAACATTTGACTTCTGCAGGTTGTTTTTACATAAATAATTATGTTCAGCACTTCTGTGCCTTGCAGGTATAGTAACATACAGAAACCCTCGCACCTCATTGGCCACATCACTTCATTTGTTTCTTCACACACTTCCTTGGTTTCTCTGTCATACCGAAGCCTGTGAAAATCCACTAATCACTGTTCAAGCCGAACCGTTGAAAGTGTGCGGAAAAAGTAGCATCATATAATCCGGCAGTAGCTCACAGGGCTCTCTGCTGATAGAGGTGTGATGGAACTGACCTCAGCAACACAAACAACACTGGTTCCACCTTTAAAGCGTCGTACTCGTAACAAGCTGTCTCTGATGCTGATGCTGAGCCCGTCTCCATCACATGTCTGTTTCAGGGCCAGCTGGAGCTGATGCTGGACATCCTGGTGTTCCACTCTTCCCGTCAGGATGGCACCAACGAATGCTCACATAATAACGGCAACTGTGCCCACCTCTGCCTGGCCACTCCTGCCGGTCCCAAGTGCCACTGTGCCTCCCACTACAACCTGAGCCCTGATGGGACAAACTGTAGCTGTAAGTACAGAGCAGATGCTAGTGATGGACACCTGTAAGCCTAGAAAACCACAGCTGGTGTAGCCAGAGACCACTGATGCATGATTTCATAGAGATGTTTATGTAAATGTGCAATTTAGAAGATACACGGCAGGATCTGGTATTCAGAAGTCCCTTCAGGCTCCTTCTCAGACCTTTTTCATTGTGTGTACTTAGTGTGTGTGTGAGGAGCCTGCTGAGATATTTGTAGGTGACGTGTCCTTAGCCCATAGCTGGTCTGGGCCTATGTGTTTAGGCTGGCCTGGGCTTAGACCATGATTTCCTTTCTTTGGATTACTCAGGTGACCTCAAGTAAAGTCCTGCCTTATGTATGACACACAATGACGCTGTCTCCACCCCACCCCCTCCCTCTTGTCCACCATGCTGCTGCAGCTCCGTCTAGTTTCCTGCTCTTCAGCCAGAAGGCCAGCATCAGCAGGACGGTTTTAGGGGAGCAGAGTCCTGACATTGTTCTACCAATTCACATCACAAGAAACGTCCGGACGATAAAATACGATCCCCTGGACCACCTTGTCTACTGGCTAGACGGACGACAGAACATAAGGAGGGCCAGAGACGATGGGACCATGGTAACGTTTCCTCTGATGGACTCTTTCTTATGACTGAGTTTAGTTGTGACTGTCCTTGCTGTTGCCTCCAGGCTTCAACTGTAGTAAGCAGCACGGCTCAGCAAGTGGACAACCAGATCCATGACCTCAGCCTGGACCCTTACAGTCGCCATATCTACTGGACCTGTGAGACGACCAACGCCATCAACGTTCAGAGGATGGACGGCCACATTGTAGGAGTGGTAGTGAAAGATGACACGGATAAGCCCAGGGCCATCGTGGTCAACGCTGAGAAAGGGTAAATCCAGTTTTACCGAATCAGAATTATTCCTCCACTAGTGTCACCAGACTCTGCTGACACCTACGCCCCACTCCACAGGTACATGTACTTCACCACCACGCAAGAGCGCTCAGCTAAAATCGAAAGAGCGAGTCTGGATGGAACTGAGAGGGAGTCTTTATTCACCACGGGGCTGATCAGACCAGTCGCGCTGGCCCTGGACAACACGTTAGGAAAGCTGTTCTGGGTCGATGCCGACCTGAAACGCATCGAGAGCAGCGACCTGACAGGTGACCTATCACAACCATGAGTTAGGCTATCACAGACCATTTTTAGGCTTCTGCTCCTAGCTGTGTCACATACACCTATGTACCAGCCCAGCTGAAGGTTAAGCCCTAATCGCAGCAGAACAGGTGCTGTTTTAATGCTGTTTACACACAATTCAAACTTGTTCTGTTTTTACGGGTTTCGTTTCAGACTGGATCAGTAGATGAGGCGTGGGTTCACTCGCTTTAATCCCGGATCACACTGTGCGACTTGCGGCTGTCTTAGCCAAATCCCTCGTCAGGAGCATCATCGTGTAAAAACGGTGAACAAGAGGGTGATTTGCAAATCCTCCGACAGCATGCTTGAAAACCTACGACTCCTGTCTGCAACCGACCAATAAAAACACACCTTTGGGATGCAGCAGCAGCTAGACTTCGCCTCTCTGAGCTTCGGTTTCAATTTATATTTAAACTGCAGATTATAAACTACACACCAGCTTTTAGTTTTGTTAAAAGTCCGAGTTAAACCGGAGTTATACTTAAAGGAAGTAAACACCTTTTTTACATCATCAGATAACGGGAAAAGCATGATTCTGTGATCTGCAAGAGCTGAGAGGAGATGAGCTCGCCAACATAAAAACTAAAACACAAAAACATGAGATCCACTTGCTGTTGGTGGAAACTTCACATATTCAGCCAATGTGGATGGTTTAGTAGCGTTTTGCTGCAGAGGAACAGACACGGGTGTGAGCGGTCACACGGAGCGTGGAGCTGTGGAGCAGTCAGACAGAATTCACGGCTAAAGTTTAGATGTTGCAGCGATCTGTGACAGATTCTTACTTCTCTCTAGTTTAGTGGGTTTTAGAGGAGGATGAAAAAGATGGATGATGCTGACAGCTCAGCTAAGGAAACCTGCAGCCGGTGTCTGAAGCCAAAGCGAGGGTTTTAAAATGGAGCTTCATCTTTGAGTTGGGTCATGAGCGATTGTAACTTGTCAGCCGTGTTAGCGGTCTGCTGTGTTAGCGGTCTGCTGTGTTAGCGGTCTGCCGTGTTTGCGGTCTGCTTTCTTAGCGGTCTGCTGTGTTAGCGGTCAGCTGTGTCAGCGGTCTGCTGTGTTTGCGGTCTGCTTTGTTAGCAGTCTGCTGTGTTAGTCTGCTGTGTTAGCGGTCTGCTGTGTTAGCGGTCAGCCGTGTCAGCGGTCTGCTGTGTTAGCGGTCTGCTTTGTTAGCGGTCTGCTGTGTTTGTGGTCTGCTTTGTTAGCGGTCTGCCGTGTTAGCGGTCTGCCGTGTTTGCGGTCTGCTTTGTTAGTGGTCTGCTGTGTTAGCGGTCTGCTGTGTTAGCGGTCAGCTGTTTTAGCGGTCTGCTGTGTTAGCGGTCTGCTGTGTTTGCGGTCTGCTTTGTTAGCGGTCTGCCGTGTTTGCGGTCTGCTTTGTTAGCGGTCTGCTGTGTTAGCGGTCTGCTGTGTTAGCGGTCTGCTGTGTTAGCGGTCAGCCGTGTCAGCGGTCTGCTGTGTTAGCGGTCTGCTTTGTTAGCGGTCTGCCGTATTTGCGGTCTGCTTTGTTAGCGGTCTGCTGTGTTAGCGGTCTGCTGTGTTAGCGGTCAGCCGTGTCAGCGGTCTGCTGTGTTAGCGGTCTGCTTTGTTAGCGGTCTGCTGTGTTTGCGGTCTGCTTTGTTAGCGGTCTGCCGTGTTAGCGGTCTGCTGTGTTAGCGGTCTGCTTTGTTAGCGGTCTGCTGTGTTAGCGGTCAGCTGTGTTAGCGGTCTGCTTTGTTAGCGGTCTGCTGTGTTTGCGGTCTGCTTTGTTAGCGGTCTGCCGTGTTAGCGGTCTGCTGTGTTAGCGGTCTGCTTTGTTAGCGGTCTGCTGTGTTAGCGGTCAGCTGTGTTAGCGGTCTGCTGTGTTAGCGGTCTGCTTTGTTAGCGGTCTGCTGTGTTAGCGGTCAGCTGTGTTTGCGGTCTGCTTTGTTAGCGGTCTGCTGTGTTAGCGGTCTGCTTTGTGACGTATGCTTTTGGGAAGTGTGCTCATGGCGTAGCGTGTCCTGCAGGAGCGAGACGTTGGGCAGTCTGTCTCACTGAAACTTTGTGTCATAAAGTGTTCCACCTTTCTGGCAGAGGTGTGGGCTCGAGTCATGAGTCAGACTCGAGTCATTATTTTAATGACTTCTGACTTGACTTGATAAAATCTATAAAGACTTGCGACGTGACTTGGACTTGAAAGCCAATGACTTTCGACTTGAATCGACTTGCATCTGCTGATTGGATGATGACGTGAGTCATATTTTAGCACAAAATAGTTGCTCGACATGGACACCAATCATAAATCATTCTTCATTCTGGGTTTGATTTACTGCTAGCAGCACGTTGTTTATAACCAGTTGCACTTCCTGCTTGTTTGAGCAAATAAAAGAAGCTTTAAGAAGCTTTTATTCTGGAATTTATTTAATATCATCGTCATTAAGTTGAAGTTGGACAGATGATTTGATTATGACTTGAAAATTCAAAGTTAAGGACTTGGACTTGACTTGGACTTCCAGGTCATTGACTTTAGACTCGACTTGGGCTTGGTTGTCTTTGACTTGGACTTGACTCGAGACTTGACTGGAAAGACTTGTGACCTACTTGTAACTTGTAAAGCAGTGGCTTGGTCAAACCTCTGCTTTCTGAAGTTCTCACGGTGTGACATGAACTATCCTCTACATCGATGAAACATCACACAGCTTAAGGTCTGCATGCTGCAGGACTTCAACATTTCACACTGCAAATGGGAATAACTACATATAAAACACGTAGAGCTGTAACATTCTGGCCAATGGGAACGTTTTCCCTGCAGGACCAATAATTGCACGTGTTTCACCATTTTCTTTTAGAAACCCTGAAGTGGTTGGGTTAGGGTTAGGGGTTAGGGTTAATAGTCTGATCAGCTGTGAGCCACAGTCACCACAACTAAAACAAATAAAGGCTAAAATATCTGGCTGTGACTGAGTCAAGCCTTTTAATTACTGACAAATGAACTTTTGCACAACTGTCTCATTTTTCCTGTTCCTGCTCAACACATTCATACCTGAACACTATTTCTCTAAACACTTATAGTTCCACCACCAAAAGCACCTTGGACCGGAGGGACGATATAATACACGTGCTTTTCTCTTTGCTAAATGTTAACTGGGATAGTTTTGTCCATTCATACTGGACTGGGGATCATTGTTAATGGGTGCTCACACAACCTGTTTCCACATTGTAATTCTTTCAAAATCAAACTACAATGGCAGAAAACATGTGATCACATCAAGTTTTATGCCAGCAGGTCAAACATGAAAACTAATTAGTTTATATTAGAAACTATTTAAACCCCAGTGATGTTTGTGAGGTCTCTCTGTTAACTAGTAGATGAGTACCTCGTTACATCTTTGAAATCTGCTCCCCTATCCCGAAGCTATCTAACAGTGACATCATTCTGCCGTCCCAGGGGCCAATCGCATCGTCCTGCAGGATTCCAACATTCTTCAGCCAATAGGAATCACAGTTCTGGGAGATCACCTGTACTGGATTGACCGGCAGCAGCAGATGATTGAAAGAGTCAATAAAGTGACTGGAGACGGACGCACACGCATCCAGGGACGGATACTATATCTGACAGCGATCCATGCTGTGGAGGAAATGGACCCCCAGGAGTTTGGTATAGATCTTTCATCTGTTGTAAAGATGCAGTGCTGAAGAGGATTCATATTATCAGCATCCCTTAGTCATAATCACCCTCTCCTCTTTCTAGCATCCCACCCTTGTTCCCGTGACAACGGAGGCTGTTCTCACATCTGCATTGCAAAGGGTGATGGAACACCTAGCTGTTCTTGTCCCATGCACCTGGTGCTGCTGCAGGATCTACTGCACTGTGGAGGTGAACACCAGACCACAGCCACAGCAGATACAGTCTTAGTGTAGTCTCCTACTGTCGTTTAAGTTAACAAGCTTCTGTCTTGTCCTCCTTCCCTTCTTACCTCTCCCAGAGCCTCCTACCTGCTCCACGGAGCAATTCACGTGCTCCACAGGAGAAATTGACTGCATACCCATGGCTTGGCGCTGCGACGGTCTCGCCGAATGCGAGGACAGCAGCGATGAAGAAAACTGCCCCATCTGTTCTGCCTTTCATTTCCAGTGTGACGGAGGAAGCTGCATCGATGCTCAGAGACGCTGTGATGGGGAACCCGACTGTGCTGACAAGTCTGATGAGCAGGACTGTGAAAGTGTGTTTACAGCGTGGCTCGGCTTAGCTTCTGTGTCCATGGCAGCAATCAGGACCCGGCTCTGGTTTTTATGTCAGGGTTCCTAACTCTGTCCCTAACCCCCCACTGTCTCTTGTCTTGCAGCGATCTGCCCTCCCACCCAGTTCCGCTGTGGGGACAACCAGTGCATCACTAGGAAACAACAGTGTGATAATTACTCAGACTGCCTTGATGGATCAGATGAGCTTGCTTGTGGTACTTAAAGGAAACTGTCATCAAATGCAAATGTGTCCCATTTTTGTGCTTTCCTCCTCCTAATCACCTGCCTCTGACTTTTGTAGACTATACTTCTACTTCCTCCAGCATCGTCCCTAGTTACGAACCCACCAATCCCATTGGTGCGGTCATCGCTATCATCCTGCTGGTGTTTGTGATGGGTGGAGCCTGTTTTGCCTGCCAGCGTGTGGTGTGTCGACGTTACAAAGGCCCTAATGGGACTTTCCCTCATGAGTACATCAGTGGAACGCCCCATGTTCCTCTCAACTTCATCACCCCTAGCAGCTCTCAGCATGGCACCTACCAAGGTGAGGTCTGACTCGCACACAAGCCTTTCAGAGTAAATACCGCTCGTGTGTAGCTCTAATGAAGCAAAAACATCTGCAGGTATCTCTTGTGGGAAGTCCATCATGAGCTCGGTTAGCTTGATGGGCAGCAGCAGCAGCAGAGCTCCTCTTTACGACAGGAACCACGTGACTGGAGCTTCGTCCAGCAGCTCCTCATCTACCAAAGGAGTCTTTTACCCTCAGGTTCATGCAGAACACACAGGCACCATGCATGCACGCTCATGACTTCCGGTCAAATAACACTCATACTTCCTGTTTGTAGATCCTGAACCCTCCTCCTTCTCCTGCCACTGATCGCTCTTTCTACAACACGGAGATCTTCTACTCATCCAACAGTCCGTCCACCATCAGATCCTACAGGTCACACACACTCAGTCAATGTTGGGCTCAGATTCACACTCGTCCACCACAGCAGTGCTCTTCATCCACTGACAGAAGTTAGGGTTACAGCTGATCTCAGCCTGTCACCATGTCTGCTACGGGTCACCTGACCGACTTTAGAAGGGTTAGGGTTAGGGTACATGCATCATTCAAGGATGTTTCTGTTCAAAATGGACCAATCGATTCAACAAGTCTCAGCTTCCCTCACAACCGTGATCAAGTCTGTTCTTTCTCCCACAGGCCCTACCACCTGATCCGGGGTGCTGCCCCACCAACCACCCCCTGCAGCACCGACGTCTGTGACAGCGACTACACCCCCCATCACCCCCCAACAGCGCTGCCATCTTCAGCGGGGTGCTGGAAGGCCTCAGGCCACGGAAAACCCAACAAGTACTACATGGACCTCAACTCGGACTCCGACCCATACCCTCCACCTCCGACCCCCCGCTCCCAATACCTGTCGGCTGAAGAAAGCTGCCCCCCGTCACCTTCCACTGAACGCTCCTACTTCCACCTGTGCCCCCCTCCTCCCTCTCCCTGCACCGACTCATCATGACCTCACAAAAACCTGGTGGCCCAGTAAGGAACAAAGGATGAAGGGGACTTGCCTGCTTGCTTTGGCCCGATTCACCAGGAGAAACGTCTACGTGCCAACTCACCGTGTTGGCTGCCTCATGTGCAACCTTAGCAAGGCACTTGGTCCATCTAGCTCATGTGAAGGTCGTCCATCCTAAATACGTTCTTTCGTCATTCCAGTCATTCCTAAGCTCTCATAAGACGCGCCTGCTGGAACACCCTGAGACTTACGGAGGCGTTCCAGGACCTGTCTGCTTTGCGTCAAGGTTCAGACAGGATTTACGTTCAACCAGCAGCTTATTGCATCACGCTCATTCCATCCGATGAGGAAAAGCTCTTTTACTTTCTCAACACAACAGGATTCTGAATTCTCACCGTGCTTGCTTCACGCAGCCGGAGGTGTGGCAGCAGCAGGAGCCTTTAGTTCATTCCAGCCCACATGAATCAGTGTGGTGGTGTGATTCTGTAACCGTCCGTTAGCTAACAAACGTGTGTGTGTGTGTGTGTGTGTGTGTGTGTGTGTGTGTGTGTGTGTGTGTGTGTGTGTGTGTGCGTGTGTGTGCGTGTGAAAAATGAACGAATGGACAGAAGTAAATGGCCTGTATTTGATATAGCTTCTCCTAGAGTCCCCCTAGGTGCTTTATAACACAACCGGTGTTACCCACACACATTCACACCCTGGTGGTGATGAGCTACAATGTAGCCACAGCTGCCCACAGGTAGCACCGGTCTTTCCGACCACCACCAGCAAGTACCGTAAGGACAAAGCATCAAACTGAGCGGGGATCAAACCTGCAACCATCCGATAACGGGGGGAACAGTCCTCTGCCACCGTTGCCAAGGACAACAGTGCAGCTTGTCTCCACAGCTGATCCAAAACCAACACCCAGTAGGTCCATCCCATAATCCTCTCCTGAAACCAGCTGATATATGTTCTGTTGTACGTTAGTGAAGTCTGACTGGAGGGTGGGAAGTGAACCTCTTCCATCACGTCTGACTCGTGTCATGTTTGCTGCTATCAAGTAAATGATGAGTCAGGTTTAGACCGCGGCCCAAATCATCATGCTGACAGCATGTCAGGAAGCTATTCTACTCTTAGTAACACATGCCTTCTATAGCTACGTGTTTATTAGTATTATCCTCGTCGTTTAATGGTGTTGTGTTTAAAGTGTGAGGCCACATGTGGCTTGAAGGAGTCATCTGCCGAATCGTTGGTTTCAGAATCAAGTGAAGGTCCCAGTATCCATCTTCATCCTCCAATCCACTGTCTCTCAGGTTTTTGCATTTTGGACACAAAAATGTCGCCGACCATCGTTGAGTGGATAAGCTAAGGAGGTGTTAGTAGTGCACCTGCAGCAGGTGAGACGTCTGCTGTGGAGGAAACTCTCAGACACACAAACCCAGAAGCATTTTAACCATTCAGTTCTTACGACGACAGGTAGGAGGCGCTCAATCATTGGCGTTGGCAGCCATCTTTGCTGGTTACTTCCCGTACTCCTTTTTTTAATTAGGAATATGCTAAATCAACACAAGCATCTCGTAGAGGTACACAAATGTGCAGCAAAGAAACGGCACAAAAAAGGGACATCCAGCTGAACACACACACAGGAAGGCTACCTAAAAAAGAGAAGGGGAGCATTAACTCAATATACAGGAGATATATTTTCATCACGCTCTGATTTAAGGTCTCAAGGAGGAGTGATAAAGTCTAAATTCACTCAAAAAATGATGACCTCCTGTACTCCTGAGTGGTGACTTTATCCTGGTTAGCTGCAGCAGTCTGCATGGACACTGGGCAGTAAACCTGCTCTCATTACAGCCGTGGAAATGACACTCATCACTTTTTATATCAAAACATTTTATATAATAAAGCTTTTATTTTAAGAAATGTTGTCTGGTTGATTTGAATTCAGACTGAGCCATCAGAACTCATCCAGCTGTGTGTTTAGGGACGGTCGAGTCGTGTTCGAGGACCGCGACACGGTTCTAACTATTAAACACACCAAGTCAAATAAAAACAAAATGCAGATTTACTTGGTTTTGTCAAACGTTTGCTGTTACATCGTTGCGTACTACATGCCTTTAACAAAACAACATGGATGGAGTTTCATCACCACCGCGCCTGCAGTAATGGGAGTGCTGGGACCAGTTCACGTGGGGCTGTGACGACATCAGAGGAGCTCCAACTTTACAGCGATACCAAAGAATGATACAAAATCAGCCATAATTATATCATAGAGCATTATTAATAATATTGACACGGTCTAAAACTACATTATTTATATAGTGGAACTGATTTATTTTTTTCTATTTATCTTACTTATCAGGTAACTTAAATATTTACAGAGATTACGTTACAGCCACTGGTCCAACCCGTCTGTCGCGTTTCCCTCATGTTGCTGAGTGGACGCTCGGTCCCGGCCCCAGGTGTTCAGGACTCGGGCTCCCGCAGAACGGACCACTAGAGACTGATGAAAGCCACGACCCAGCGCCACCTCTCTGTCTCTGGGACTCTGTAACCCCCCCACCCCCTTACACCAGTAGTAACTGCCCCAGGACCATCCTGAACTGTTGTGTGAACCCCGCCAGCTCCTTCACCCTCTCCGTCATCTCTCTGGCTGCTCCGGGGGAAGGATACTGCAGCGCCGCCGTCTTCGTACTGATTACAATGTCTTTGAGTTTCTCACACAGGCTGTTGCTGCTCTGAGACACCCGGGCTCTCACCTCTGGAGACTTGGCCTGGCGTGATAGCGTGTCACCTATGAACACCAGCTTGTGCGCGCTCAGAATCACAAATTTGCTGTGAGCCACAAATATCTTTGGCGGCTGGTTGGAGTTGACAGCGGTGAAGAAGGCATCGATGGCGTTGGTCACCGTGGTGATGTTCTGCTCGCATTGCTCCTGGTAGAACAACAGGAGCTGGCGGTCCCCGTGGCACAGCTTGGAGGACGAGGGGTCTCCGGTGCTGCTTTTGGAAAGCGGGCTGGCCAGAGGGTGGTGCGGAGATGGGACCCAGCCCGTTATGTCGTTGTTAATTGGCCTGCTGACTTCCTGCTCCAGCCGCTCAAACTGTTTAATCTGACGAAGCAAAAACACACAGTTACCTTCATCTTCATCATGCATGAATGAGAACAGCCACGAGATAACTGGAGACCTTCTACTGAACTAAAATGTCTCATCTTAATCCTGATGGGGGGACCATACAATCCTGATTCTTTATTGTTCACACACACACACACACACACACACACACATACACACACACACACACACACACACACACACACACACACACACACACACACACACACACACACACACACACACAGTGCTGTAGTCACCTGCTGCTGTTCCAGGTGTGTTTTGTTGTGTCTGATGATATTGCCTTTCTCCAGCAGCTCTCTCTGGTTCTTCTCAAACTCATCCTTCCCCTGAGAAATCAGAGTTACACCATGATCAGGATCTGCTGTGTGTGTGTGTGTGTGTGTGTGTGTGTGTGTGTGTGTTTTTGTGTGTGTGTGTGTTTGTGTGTGTTTTGTGTGTGTGTCTGTGTGTTTGTGTGTGTGAGTGAGTGTGTGTGTGTGTGTGTGTGCGCACGTGAGTGTGTGTGTGTGCATGTGTGTGTTTTTGTGCATGTGTGTGTGTGACAGAGTTGTTTGACTGAAGGGTTTTTTAGGTCACAACAAGATCTTTTCCAGGTAAAAACATTGGTCCTATCTGGAGAACCGCTACACGGCCCAGACCCTCGGTCCGTGGCTGTACCTGCAGATGAACGTAGTCGTAGTCCTCCATCCAGCCTTGCTCGCTGGCTTCGTAGGGCCGCTCCACGTCTTCCTGCTCCTCTGTTGCTGTAAACCTGGGTGGAGAGGGTAGCGGCCGTGACTGAATGTGCACTCTCTCGCCTCCCTGGTAGGTTCCACTTCCTGATCCTGACATGTGACCACTGATCTCCCCTGGGACTGGAGGAAGGGGCAGCTGCTGCTGCCGAACTGTCCTTCTAAAAAGCAATGAGGCATTACCATGGAGAAAAGAGGCAAGCTGTTTGGTGTCATCAGGGATGCCTCTTGCTGTCATGATCAGCTGATCTAAGTCATCTCCTCCTGGTGGTGGAGAGGAGAGTGCTGTGTGTGACCAGGAAATGCTGTCTAAGCTCCGATTGTGCTGAATCAGACTCTGGAAGACCTGCTCCATCTTCCCCACCTGCCGGCCAAGTTTGGTCTGCAGTGAGCGGTCTGTGGCCTGGGCAGCATTAGCAACAGCTCCTCGTGCAAACTCCAGAAAGTCTCGTACAGTGGCGTGCACTCGGTCAGCCGCCAGATGAATGGCAGCAACGTTCTCTTCCAGGTGAGCAGGACTTCTCCAGTTGCCTGTGATGAATGACATCATGAGGGAAACGCTCGACTCAACAGCTTGCTGGAGGCCAGACAAACGCTCCATGGCCTGGTCAAGGTCCAAGATGAGGGGCTTCCCTGGAACAGAGTCAGGAACTGAGGAGGTGTCTCGAACAGGGACCATGTCTAAGGATGAAGACGAGTGGTTGCTCCGTATGCTTCCTGTGCTTGAAGCACGTTTAAAGGGAATGGACAGCTCCTTATCAGCTGACTGAGCATCACGAACAACCTGGAAAAACACAACAGATACAAATCACAGACTCACCAAAATACATGTAGCCATCATAATGTGTCCACTGTGACAGAAAACACTGATTATCTTATTTTAACAGGGAACCCATAATAGGTTCATGATGGACGGGCAACATCTATAACTGTAGGGTGAACTTTAACATCACTGCAAAGCTGTTTCCCTCTGATGTCTGATGATGTCAGCGGGACATTCCAGACGTCCTCAAACAACCTTTAGCTGTGTTACCTGTGGTGGGACATCATAGATGTACTGGTCTCCTCTCTCTCCTCTGTCCTCCCGTTCCCGTGGGAAGTCGTAGACATCTTGGTTAGTGTGACTTCCAGCACGCAGGATGGCTGGGATGTCATAAATCTCCTGGGGGGGCTGGCTGACTGTGCCCCTGTCTCCTGGATAGTGCTTTTCAGTCGGGATAGAGGGCGGGACATCATAAACATCCTCCGTTATGGGTGGGTCATCGTCATCTTCACCAACATTGTTATGGAGGTACTGGCTGGAAGGAAGAGTAACTTTGGCCTTCAGTTTAGCAAAGTGAGGTGGGACATCATACGTCTCCTCTCTGAACGGGGCGGCGTTGGGAACATCTTTGCTCACAGAGGGGGGGAAGTCGTAGACCTGAGGAGAGAGAGGGACACACGTAAGCTAACGTCTATTTCAGATCGGATGTTCCTTCCTAAGACAAAATCCTCTTCAGGCATGTTTTTGTGTAGTCCTGAAAACGAACAAAGGAACAAGCTGATGTGCCAGCCATGCAATGCGCAGCATGTTACCACGGCAACGCCTGGAAAATGCTGCACCTCTCAATAGTAGCTTAGGATGCAGGTGTCTGGGGCACGCTCGTCCCCGAGTTTGCGCACCATGAGAGCAAACTTCACAGCTCTAAAGTTGATTTTGTCCCATGTGTGTCACACGTCATGTGATCATGAATAAGTCAATCCCTGAATTAGGAAACTGTCAGCCTGGAGCCTCGGTGTTAGGGCCCTGAACGTCTGATCCTGGAGCCTCGGTGTTAGGGCCCTGAACGTCTGATCCAGTTTTATTTGTGGACGTATACGAATCATTTGTGATTTACAACAGCATTAGGAGATGATTACACATGAAAGTGCAGCAGCAAATGTTTGAATTACAATCAAATTCATCACTAAATGTGAAAAGACAACAAACACGATGGTCTGAAGCTGCTTCAGGAACTGAACGCCTTGTTGCAGCTGATAAAATCTCTGTAGCTCAAGAGCACACGGGTTAGCCAGCAGGACAGAGATCTAAAGCAACATCCATGTTTTAGTTGTTTTAATGTAAATTGTGTTTTTTTCCTGACAAAATAAAATGATCTAAAACCTAAAAATCTTCCTTGATTAAAAAATGTGTCAAATGACTCAGGATCTGTTGTTCCCCCAGACGTGCACAGCAAGCCTATCGGTGATTTAGTGAGAGACGATGGAAAACAGAACGTTTTGTTACTCCCAAGTCCAAAAGCCTTACAGTATGTTGGTTCTTGTCTGACGGTGCCGGGGTGTCATATATGTCTTGACCACTAGAGGGCCCCTTTGCCACCGTGGAAGGAGTGTCACACACCTAAACGTGAAGAAAAGAACAAAAACACACAATAAAATAAAACATTTAAATAGAGGAAGCTGGACCTTCACACTCACACACACACACACACACACACACACACACACACACACACACACACACACACACACACACACACACACACGTACGTGTGCGTTAGCAACAGAGGCAGCACACGTGTGACGATCTCTCATGTTACACACATGTTTATCAGAGGCTACTGAGCATGACTGAATTTAATAACAACAACAATCCTGTATTGGCTCAGTTGTAAACATCAGATCGACACTGAGAAGTCTGACCTGGGAGGGGTGCTGCTGGCGGGTGGGGGGCACATCGTATATATCCTGCTGGACTGGAGGCTGGTGTCTGGGCAGGACGTCATACTCATCCTGGTCTGGTTTCACTGTGTCGTAGATATAAATCTGCCCAACACGAGTAGGAACCACCACCTTTACACACACACACACACACACACACACACACACACACACACACACACACACACACACACACACACACACACACACACACACACACACACACACACACACACACACACACACACACACACACACACAGGATGAGCAGGGTTATGTATGGGTTACATCCAGCTCATCACTAACGTTATGCGTGGTTGTAACCAGACTATAGCTGTTCAGTTTTTACCATCTCCTCGTATCAGACACAGGTTTACTCAGTCAGACCTGATCTGGCTCTGAAACACGAAGATAAAGTAACATCTGCTGTCAGATTTCTGCTCATCGGTCTGATTCTCCTCTCATCTCTGACACAGCTACCTCCAGCTGGGCGACCCGAGGACCTTCTGCAGCCTTGACCCGGGTCGGAGCTCTGTTCCGTGTTCTGCTAGCTAAATAGAGGCAACGCAAAAGTATTTGTCTGTTGAAACTCCGAGCCTGATTTCTCAACATCAGTTACTTATAAATCACTGAGCTTCAAATAGACTGGTCCACTTACGAGTCTTGAAAGTATCCTGATACATGAAACCCAGACATATAGCACACCCCTCCTGGATTTACCAGGTAGGGTCCTTATCTAAGCCCATTTACCAGGTTCAGAGCATTCCACAGCAGTTCCTCATCATCAGAGGATTTACTGACAGAAATTCTCATGTTTTGATTTTGTCACTTAAGAAATCCTTATTTTAATATTTGGTGTCTGAAATCCTATTGATTTGACACCTTGAGATGATCATACAGTCATGTTTTATATAAATATATTTAAATAGGACTCCTTTAACAGGAGGATTCCACCACAGCAGGCAGAAGTGCTGTGGAAACCATTGTGAGCTTGTTTAAACTCTGCATTGTGTGTTTGAGTGCAGAGTCAACCCGTCAGTCTGGGAAATCACAACACCCTTTCTGACTCCCCCGTCCTCCCTCCCTCCATCCATCCATGTGGTCTGACCAAACCTCACAAAAGCAAACTCCAACAGCAGAAAACAGCGGAGCTCCAGGATGAGTCTAGCATCCACTCGTTTCTAAGCTTTGGTTTTACTTTCAGTGGAACGTTTAAGGAAGTTCTGATGCAGACGAATGACGTGTGTGCTTAGTGGCAGATAAAAATACTGAGTAGTACTATGGGACAAAGTGAAACCATCCGAAATTGTTTCTGTTACAGCAGATCTTGTTTGGTTCAAACCCCAGGGCCCTTCATTTAAAGTCAACAGTTGGAGTTTCAAATATCTATAAATCAGGACATGTGGAGGTTTTAGGAGACATTTTTATGCTGATCACACAAACTAAACTAAACTACCGGTAACTCTCCTTTGCTTTTTTCATACTTTGACCCTCTTTCCTAATAAACTTGGCTTCTTTTTTATTAAAGCACATTTCTGGAGTATTTCTCTTATCCAATGACGCCACCTGGTGGCTGACAAACATATCACACAAATAGTCTCTGGGTCGTTTTTTTTTTTAGATGGAGACTTCACGGTTTTTATTTATAAATGTGCTTCTCATGTCATGCTGTGTTCTCATGTATTTATATTTTAGAGACTTTCTTGTCCGTGAAAAGTTCATCAGCTCTGCATCAGTCGAGGTATTCCTTAAATGTGACGCATCTAAGCGTTAGTCTAACGCTATTGGTTAGTTCTGGTCGGTGCTCAGTTTCCTATTGCACGGAGCTCTGCGGGGCAGGGGCGTGGTTAGCAAAAACATTTAAAAAGGCGTATTGCTTACATTTTATCACAGTACATGGTGAGATAATCACTTTTACTGATTTCTGACAAATCATACATAAGTTCTGAAGGAGAAAACTCAGGAAAGATACTTTAATTTCAGTCCAGTTCCTAACTGGACTGGGCTCTGATGGATTAACAGCAGGTTCAAGAGGAGTTATTTACAAAATAAAACAAATAGAACATGCAAACAGAAATCAGAAACCAATAATAAAATCCCCCAAATGTGAAAAAAACAACAACTGCATTTTGTAATTAGGCCGGTTCTCAAGTTTACGCTAAAATGATGCAATGGTGCAACAATAACAGTTAAAAGCAAATAACAGAGCTTTTGCTCAGTCTGATTTTCTGTTCCCTAAATGTGTGAAAGCTGTCCTACTCCAGAACTTCATACTAATATTTCTGCCACATTTTCACACCTGGGAATATTTATACCATTGGAAATAACCTCCAGTTACTGCTCTCTCTATCGTTATTCTTCAGATGAAATCAGGATACTTCTCAGAGCACTCGGTGATTCCTGTGCCTCAGAACAGCACTTCAGCATTTATCTATGGTCTAGGATTAACCGTTAAAACCATGGACATAATTTTTTGGGGGGACAGGGGGGGACATGTCCCCCCCCTTTTTTTTTTTCCAAAGTCAAGTTTTGACCCCTGCACTTTTTACCATCCAAAAACAATATTACGCTATATTTAATTGACACTGGTTGAGCTCTAGCACTAAGTGGAAAGCAACCGTTTGCGTTGAAGCCTGTTTCCCATTAGAGCATACTGTAAAGACCCCCCCCCCCCCCCCCCCCCCGCCCGCCGTGTCCCCCTCACTTCTAAAGTGAAAATTACGTCCATGGTTAAAACCATACAGACCCCAGAACAAACCAGTGTTCTCATACGAGCAGCTGCTACTCTGGCTGATGAATGATATTCATACAAAGTTCTGAGTCATTAAGGACTCCATCAGAAGTGGTGACACACTGAGGCACATGTCTTTGTTCAGTTTCTGTGATTACGACAAGCACAAGTCACTGTTCAACCATTCTCAACACTCTCAGGCTCTAACCAGCTGTCTGACAGGAATAGTGAAGACACATCAAATATATCCTGTGTGATCCCGCATAACATCAATGTCAGACAGACTGACACTAATTTTAATGTAACTAACATCATTTTGATTTTCATTTTCCCTTACCTTACTGAGAGGCTTGCTGCTGCTCTCCCAAGTCCTCTTATCCAGTGAGGGGGGCACCTGGTAGATATCCTGGCCAGCTGCTGCACTCCCACCTGTCTGGCCTGGCCCAGGACCAACAGAAGGGGGCACCTGGTATATGTCCTGCAACTTTCTTTGGCCAACAGTTGACATCTTGCTAGGTGGTCCTGGTTGGGCTTGTACAGATGGTCCACTTTGACCAGAAGTAAGGTGATACAGATTTTGGGGACTCAGCTTGGGACCGTGGGAGGGGGGCATCATGTAAACAGAGTCAGAGCTGGGCTGCACCGAGCTGGGAATGGAGTAGGCTGGGTGCATGGATGTGTACTGAAGAGAGGACTTATTTATACACTCTCCTTTCCCAGGGATAGCAGGGCTTGGTTTAGCATAGGTGCTGTGAGCAGGGAGGGGTCGCTGCAACTGGGGGGTGGGACAGGAAACAGCTGCATCTGGTGAGGACTGTGTGCCTTGTTGCTGCTGCTTACTGTCATACATGCCAACAAGGATCTTCAGACGATTCCCTGGGACGATGCCCTGGCGGCCATGGAGCGAGCAGAGCCACCATCCATCCAAACCCTGGGTGTCACGCTCCAACACCGTCATGATGTCTCCTTTACGAAATGAAAGCTCATCTGGAGACTCTGCCAAGTTGTCATACAATGCCTTGGCCAAGACGTTCTGTAGAGGGAACAAAAGACAAACGCACAGCACCAGTTAAACACTTAGGTAAGTCCCCACTTGTCATTTTTTCAAACATCTATTTATTGCAGTTAGACTAATAACAGACGGGCAGATAAGCTGAAACCACATTGCTCCTCCTGAATCCAAGGTTCGACAATCTGACGGACCCTCCTCTCCAGAAGCCCTGAATAGACCTTACCAAGGAGGCTGAGGAGTGTGATCCCCTGTAGTTGGAACACACCCTGCGGTCCCCCTTGTTAACTAGGACCACCACCCCGGTCTGCCAGTCCAGTGGAACTGCCCCCGATGTTAACGCCCATGTGTAGCAATATTTTTGCAAGTCTTTGTTTTAACCCTTTCATATCATGCATAATGGCCTCTACAGTGGACAACTACTCAAAACAGTTTTTCTTTTTTTTTTTTTTTGCTATTGACTTTGTTGCATTTGAGCCTTCTCATTGGACGCTAGTGAGTGAAGCCAACATATTTCACATTCAGAACATATGCTGTCCACTGAGGTGGTCATGTAGTAAATTATTTGTTACTTAAATGTTTTAGTCTAAATTTCATTCATAATAACGAATTTAGGAATATTTCTACGAACGTTTGATGAATGAGGCCCCTGGAATATAACCCTTTCGAGCCTTCAAGCCACCACCTTGCTTCCAAGCTCACCACTTCCTCAGATCTGACTCACTCCCTCCCCCTTGAGCCCTCAGCCACCAACAATACCGTAACTCGTAACTTCTGATTCGCAGCAGCTACCAGATAGCAACCTTTCATTTTCCAGATCCTCCAGAGCCCAAGATCAACGCCACACGTGTGCATCCTCAGTTATCCTTAAATAAGCTTTGTTTGATTTGATTTCTTGTGTCTGAAACTGATTCTTCATGTCCTGGTTAAAAAAACTCAACCCCAACATGACAGCGTGCATGTCAGTCTGTCTGGAAGACATACAGATGCTGGTCATAAAATTAGAATAATTGATTTAAAGTATCTTTCCGGAGTTTTCTCCTTTCAGAAACTATGTATGATTTTTCAAAAATCCGTAAAACTGATTGTCTTATCATGTACTGTGATGTAATGCAAGCAATACGTTTTTTTTGCTAACCACGCCCCCTGCCCCGCAGAGCTCTGTGCAATAGGAAACTGAGCGCCGACCAGAACTAACCAATAGCGTTAGACTGCCGCTTAAATGCGTCATATTTAAGGAATACCTCGGCTGATGCAGAGTTGATGAACTTTTCACAGACAAGAAAGTCTCTAAAATATAAATACATGAAAACACAACATGACATGAGAATAATACTCATAAAACAACGTGTTTTAGCTCCGTTTGTCGGCTACAGAAGCACATTTATAAACAGAAACGTGAAGTCTCCATCTTAAACAAACAAAAGGAGAAATTCTTTGTGTAATATGCTTGTCAGCCACTAAATGGTGCCATCGGATAAGAGAAATACTTTGGAAAGAGCCTTTAATTCAGTAACTCCAAAAATGAAACTTGTATTTTAGATTAATTCTTTACGCAGACTTATATATTTCAAATGTTTAACCGACAACTAATGAAAATCCCAAATTCGGTGTCTCGGAATAATAGAATGCTGAAGACCCCTGGTGCCACACTCTAATCAACCAATTAACTCAAAACACCAGCAACAGCGTTTAAATGGTCTCAGTCTAGTTCTGTAGTCTACACAGTCATGGGGAAGACTGCTCCTTGACAGTTGTCCAAGAGACAACTATTGACACCTTGCACAAGGAGGGCAAGACACAAAAGGTTGCTTAAAAAAAAAAAAAAATAAGATGTAGAATAGTTCTGTGTCCAAGCACATCTATAGAGAGGCCAGCAAGTCAAATTCTGTTGTCTGCTTCCCTGAGACTGTGTCAGACGTTTAGCCTCTTTTACTGAGAATGGTTAATAAATAATAAATAAAACTAGGTTGTAGCTTTATAGGATTAATATTGTTCCATAATTTGGCCAAACCCCCCTTTGGGTAATACGGAGCTAGCTGGATCAGCGGCCCTGTGGCAGCTTGGGCCACAGGGTAACCGTTAGAAGGAAGAGTGGTCATCAGGCTATCGGAACACCAAGAATAAAAGTGGAAATCATTCTGGGGGCCAGAGCAAGCAACACCAAATCTTACCGGAATGCCACCGACTTTCATTACCCAACAGTCACATGACTCTGACACCAGCGCTCTATCCCAGAATGACCACACAGTCATTCTCCTAATCTGGTCTTTTTTTGAAGACACTTTGGAGCCAAGAGTCACAAAGTCAAGTGAGTTGTCCCTATCTGTTATAGCCAACATGTTTTCAGGGCCATGATGTGGAGCAGTTGGATTCCTTCTGACACCTCGGTACAGATTTAAACAGCTGTCTCCCTTTTTCTGAGCATGTGGACTCTGTAAACAAGAGTTTAGACCCATACCTGTTCAATAAGTAGGGCTGGACGATACAGAAAAAAAGCACATCGATAAAAAAAAATTCATATCGATTGATAGACAATAATTGAAAAATAGTTGTCGAAAATATATTTTAAGTGCTGCCTTGTTCATTTTATGCTCTTTCTAAATTAACTACATTCAATATTCATTCATGTCTGAATGCTGGTGACAAGCCTTACAGGTTTACTCTCAGGTGGAGCATCAAAGCGTCTGCTTATAATGTAATGTTACTGGTTTTGATGCTTTATCATTTCAACCAGACACGAAGACAGGTGAAAGAGAAGTCTGTTTCTAGACCTGCAGAAAGGGAAAAAATAAAATAAATAAATAAAAATTAAAGAGGGGACACACAACAATACAACAGGAGCAAGCTGTCACTGTGTCAACCTGATGAGGAAATATAAAATTAACATTGTTTAACTGAACAATCACACGATTATAAATCACAGTGCATTTAGTGCCCACCACAGCCTTAAGACATGTGTTGAATGTGCCCAAGTCCATACTTATGAGAGCACCATGAGAGCACCTGTGTGTGTACACACACTTGTAAGGTTTCTCTCTAGGAGAATCCAATAGAGAGTGTGAGGGGCCACAGATCTGCCCCCTAAAGATGTGTAGAATATGGAAGGAGCTCCAAGTCCCAGAGATCCAGGAGCTGCCCCAGAGTGCAGGGACCCCAGGAAGACTGTAACATGAAAAGCCCCCGCCCCCTTCTGGAGAGGCGCAGAGGATTGCCCCGGGGGGTCACAACCAGCAGCCGGCAGAGTCCCGGGAGAAATCAGCGGCAAGCCCACAGGCCCACATGCAGCCTCCCACCCCCAAGCCGGCAGAGACCGGGACCAGCGACCCGGGTACCAGGGGTGACCAGCCCCGCCGGGGACCCAACGGAGCCCAGGGACCCATGATGTAGAACAGGAATTACAGAGAGGTGTTGCTGATTAAATATTCAAATGGCTTGCCGTACAGGCTTGTTGTAGACAGATAAAGGGGAAGGTAGAACAACACAATATGAACCATCGTTCACTGGATTGTTCTAATATTACTGGTAAATTTGTTCAGTCACCAACATAAGCTGACTCAATTGGAGCTAATGTGCCTGCGTGATGATCTCAGAGATGATAACAAGTTGGGAGTGTCGCAACTTTTTTTCTGCCAGCTCTGCAGATGGACGAGACATCGTTCTGAATTTCTCTTTTAGCAGCTTTGGGAGTCTAAAATATCCCCTCACAGGAGACTTGAAGCACTTCCTAGGTGGAAATAAAGCAGTCCTGGTGGTTGTTGACGCTGGTTCTGCTGTGTGCGCCAATTACTTTCGCTTTGGTTCACTCGTTTTTTTTTTTTTTTTTTTTACAGTGTTGGAGACGTCTTTACTGTGGGTCAACCGCAGTGTTTCACGCCATGGTTAATAGTCAAACCAGTTAATTCTAGCAACCCTACAGTTTTGGGAGAACCCATGTGATTGAATAATCTCACCCAATGAGGTGGTGTATATAGCAGAGAAGAGGTCCTAGTACAGAGCTTTGGGGAACTCCTGTGTCAAAATGGTGAACAGCAGAAGATTGTCCGAGCCAGGATACATTGAATGATCGTCCTGTCAGGCAGGATTCAAACCAGGGTTGTCCTTCCCCTGTGATGCCCATGCTAGAGAGTGTGGACAAGAGGATGCCATGGTTGACAGTGGCAAATGCAATCGATAAGTCCAGCAGGATAAGCACTGAGGATTTGGCAGTCGCTCTAGCTTCTTTTAAGGCTTCTGTCACAACTAACAGAGCAGTTTCAGTGGAGTGGCCATTTTTGAACCCAGATTGGTAAGGGTCAAGCAGACAGTTTTGTGAGAGGTGTTCTGTGATCTGCTTGAATGCTGCCCTTTCAATGATTTTAGACAGAAACAGGAGGAGAGAGATGGGTCAGTAATTCTCCACATGATTTAAAGGTAGTGAAGGTTTTTTAGCAGTGGTTTAACCTGAGCATGCATGAGAGAGGAGGGAAATGTACCGGATGTCAGTGAAGCATTAACCACATGTGTGACTGCTGCGGCTACTGTAGGAGCAAGAGATTGGAGCAGCTTAGTCTGAGTGGGGTAGAGTGGGCATGTAGCTACACATGAGACATTTGGACACACAGTTCTCAGTGAGGGTAAATGAAGAAAATGATGTAGTAGGGCTTCTGATGGTCAGGCTAGAAAGGTTTTTTTTTGTAGCGAAGGCACAGGAGTGGCCAGTTTAGTAAACTGCTTATAACTGACACTTTGTCAGTGAAAAATGAGGCAAAGGTGTCTTTTGCTAGATTACTGGTAGGTGTTGGAGGCAGAGGGTTAAGCAGAGTTTTGAATGTCAAAAACAGTTTCTGAGTGTCAGAAGAGCTGAGGATTTTGTCAGTGTAGAAAGCTTTCTTTGCATCAGTGATGGTGGCAGAGAATGAGGACAATAATTCATGAAATTTCAATTGATCACCAGGATCTTTTGTTTTGCGGAGGTTGCAGTGGAATGAGACCATTGGGGAGGAAGCAGTGGACCTCCCTTGTAGAGTCGTGCTGAAATGGATGAAGTAATAATCGGAAAGATGCAGCGGTGTGACAGAGATTGTGTCTATGGCACAGTTTCTGGTGAAAATGAGGTCAAGTGCTTTTCCAGCTTTGTGAGTTGGAGGACTTTGTACTAGTTTTAGATCAAATGATGACATTAGTGACAGGAAGCCTGATGAGCTGGTATTGTCCAGGTGAATATTCATGTCTCCAAGGACCATTGTGGGACAGTCGTGCTCAGGAATGGAGGAGAGCAGGGTGTCGATATAACAACCATAAAGATTTTTTTGGTGCCGTTACCCGGATGGCATGGTATTCCAAAGAGGTGTACTTAGTAATGGGTAGCGACTGACTGAATTTTCATTTGTTGGAAATGAACATGCCCGTTCCACCACCTCGGCCAGATGCACGAGGTGTGGGAGAAAGTGTGGTTAACTGAGAGAGCAGCATTAGCAGGCAGCATGGTCACCAGGTTTGATCCAGGTCTTGTTCTTTTGGGAGAATTTCCTCCACCGCTCCTTGCTGCGACGTCTTTAACTCATCTGCTGTCTGTTTAGGTGAGAGAGAGGAGGGCTTGGTGATGGAGCATGTCAGAATATGTGTTTTTGATTGTAGTAGCTAGTATTAGCCTACCTGATAGGCTATAATGAAAAAAGAAAGGAAAGTTTTTATTGACCCATCTTTTTTCTATCGTCCATCAATAGATACAAATCATTTTTGTTTTCTGCCCGACCAAGGAGCGTGGATCTTTTAAAGTTTTCACTTTGGTTTATTACCACTTGTTGCATCCATCCTAACTTCAACATCTCTACTCTGCTGCATCATTATTCCAGTTAATTATCTCATTGGTTCACCTCAAATTTGACCTTTTTGACTCAGACTAGAAAAACCAACCAAATTTTGGTGGGCTCCTCTGCTTATCTTCCACACAAATGAAGACTGGTCGAACCCTTTTGTTTATCTCTGTCTTTTCCAATCCTCCCAGAGCCCAGCTGGCAGACTGCCACCCGTTCAGAACCTGGTTCTGGCTCTGTTCTACTTCATAATCAGTCAGGGTGAATAAAAACAGTTCTGTAGATACAAGTGGCTGACATTTGGTTGAGTCCACTTCTGCCTATAAGAACAACGTGTATGAGATAATCTAAGCTTTCACCCCACCCCACCACCACCCCCACCCACACGTTCAAACAGAAACTCCTTTAGCTTTTTGTAGACGTCAGTCACGTCTGACCTTCATCATCTCCACTCCCTCTGCATGAGTCCTACCCCAGTTATCACAAGCTGGTGCAGGCTCTACTGCAGGTGCATGCACACACACACACACACACACACACACACACACACACACACACACACACACACACACACACACACACACACACACACACACACACACACACACACACACACACACACACAGTGCTCTGTGCTTATCTTTTTATAACAACGACGAATAAATACATTGCACCTTCCCCTTTGGTAGCGACTAAAGGTTACTTTTTTAATTGAGGCATCTAGAATCATTGATTTGCATTGATACACTGAAGGGATTCACTACTGCTGTCTAGCACAAGTTGTGCCTTTGTTCCCCCTGCTATCTGCGCCTCCTGAGCATCAGGTTCTGTTAATATGCCAGTGGAAAGGAGCCCATGAGGTTCTGCAGGTTGGAGCAATGAGCCCTTGTTAGTGTCCACCAGAGCTTGGCCCCTCTCTTACAGGAGCACACTTGCGGCTTCTAGAAGGACTGCCATTTACACCAACTGTGGATCGTGGGTCTCAGGACATCGCTGGTGAGTTCACGTGTGTGTAGAGAGGAGCTGGTATCCCTGACTGTCATTAATGACAACAAAGGAGCCAACAGAATGATGCAACACTGGTTTTAAAATGAGATGTACCGGATGCATTTCACCGGCACATATCGCACTTCCTGTCTGGCTTATGTCATTTCTTCATGATTATTCGCATGTAGAATCTGGAAAAGACAGAAACCATGTGGAAACTTTCCAAAGATCTACATCAGGATCAGCACCATCGCTGGTGTGAATGCTCTGTGCTCAATGATTTTCTATCCTTGCAGGAGCCATACCGTTCTGATCCACACTCGGTGTAAATGAGGGGTCATTGGGGCGTGAGATGGACACAGCAGGAACAGAAGTGACAGAAAAAGAGAAAACACGTTTCTCAGATTGAGCTGCAGGTCTTAATGAATGAAGAACAAAACCTACCAAAATCAGAAATCAGACTGATCAGTTTTCAGATTTATGTCACATCTCTCCTCCTCATGAGTAGGAATCACGTTCATCCCCTTAATCATTTAAAATCAATACAAGGATTTCTGATCAACAGGATATGCAAACACCACCGGCTCTCAGGAGGGTCGTCTCTACTCTAAAATCTGTTTCCTGTAAACTAGGCACAGCCATCCCTCACAGCGGACATCCCACTAGTAAAAGCATGTGTAGTCCCCAACAGCCAGATGTCTCCTTCCTGGACACAGGAACTCACGTGGCACTCAACCAGCTAAAGTAAAACTCATCTAGTAATAATTTCCTATAATAATTAACAGCTTCCTGCTCCTCATCAAAAATAAAACACCTACCTGAAATAATGAAACTGAAAGTAAAAAATAAGGAACTCAAGTTTTCGCTGGCTGTGTCTTTTAAATTAATCTCTGCAACACACATCACAAACCAAAGGAAGGTCACCAACTGTTTGGGATATGTTGTCATTTTTGGCGTTCAATAAGCTTTTCTGTCTCAGACTTACACAAAAGCAGGAGATCTCTTTAGACATTCATCCTTCATGCCTCATGATGTCAGAACCACTCTTACAGTCGGAGTCTGATGAATCCTCGTGCCGTCACTTGCTCAGATCGTGTAGAATGTTAAGCCTCATATATATATATATATATATATATATATATATATGTGTGTGTGTGTGTGTGTGTGTGTGTGTGTGTGTGTGTGTGTCTTGGTTAAGAACTTTCTACATAAATGTAGGTAAGTGAGTATAAGTACAGTCATGAAGCTTTACTGTACTCCTGGGCATGTCTTTGTTGTTTATTCTACCTACTGTACACCTCAGTTCTGTACTGATTCTGTTGTAATTCTTCATCGCTCACATGTTCCGCTCTGCTAAAGTCTTGTCACGCTTGGATCGCCTGAATGTTGTGATTAAAGAGACTCCTGAGCTACATTCAGATCAACATGGATCCTGAGTGGCCTGATCACGTTAGACTGCGTGTGTGAACCGTCTCAGGACAGTTTGATGATGCGTCAGGCACACCGATGCCTGGGTGCCTCCTGGGTTAAATAAGAGCCAACGCCCTGTAAAACGTAAACATCAGGGCTACTGATGTAAGGGACTCCAGACGAAACAGATCCAACCATTCTTTTATGAACTTTTATTGTTGCAGGAGGGAAACTGCTCTGACCACATCTTTAGATTGAAGATTAAACACGAGGAGCACACTTAGTAACTTAGTAAGTCAACATTAGCAGGAACAACTTTGTTCTGACGGAGTCTCCTAAAGGGAAACTAAGCTGGCACAAGCTGACACTTGCTGATGGGAGACAGGTCTGATTTGCAGCTGTCCGTCTGTCGCTCTCCTCTCTACTCTTTCCCGTCTCAGCATGCATCTTCTGGAGAAACATTTGTGAGAGTGTGTGTGATTTGCTCCTGCCTGTAGAGCGTTCACCTGGAGCTGTGATGGTCGAGCCAGAAGAGACAAACCCAAAGTGACATTTAACATGGAAGTCCACCAGCTGAACACTAACGGGCCTCACCTCTATCTCAGTGGAAGGAGCACAGGTGCTGGTTTATAGGTCCAACTATTTCATCTGGAAGTAAAACCTGTGCAGACGACTAAACAAGTAGAGCAACTGCACTAATCTACAGCGCCATGGAAAGGTATCTGTACCCCTCAACTTTTACACATCTTGACTCATAAACCACAAAGCCAGATGTTTTTATTGAGATTTCCTGTGATAGAAACGCACAAAGTAGCACGTAAACACTGAATGGAATGAAACTGACACATGGTGATGCTGCCCTGATGAGGCCAGCATCAGTGAGTTGCTGTGAAACACTTGATCCCTGAGAAGGGTCAAACCAGCAAGCCTTGAATATGAAACGTGTCTCCAAGATTTTTGCAACATGAATTATTTGATGAATCGTTTCAGCCTTTGAAAGCAAACGCCTGACTGCGGGAGTTTAACCGTTTATTCACAAATGTGTTTCTGAAGTTATCCATTCTACAGCCAGCTACACTCTTAAAGAAGCCCAACAGCAACAACACCAGTTTTGTTTTGGCGCAGCTGAAAATTCTGACCTTAGGCCATGACTAAGAGCAGAAACAACAGCAGAGATTCTGTAGCCTGGAGCTCAGACTCATAGGTGTGGCCTGATGTTGCCTAACCTGTTCACACACAACCCCGGTGGACGGCTCGGAGCAGACAGGAGCAAATTGAGCGTACACAGCAGCAAACACTGAGGCTGATCTTCAGAGGTGCGTTGATTGTAAACAAGTTCTAGGTCACTTTTTTTTCCCTGCCTACAGGTGAGCTGAGCTGGTGAGGACATCAGAGCAGCTAGAGCTCTATGTGCGGCTGACAGGAGAGGATCCACAGCAGCCTGAGCCTTAAGAGCTCTCCAAGCTGAGGCATGTCCGCACATGCTGGCTGATGACTGTACAGGCGTGTGAGAGAAATCTGTAGCCCGTTGCTCAAAAACCTCATCAGGCAGCAGACGTAGGGCTTTTATCTGTGGTTTGGAGCTATCCAAGAGGCACTACGGGACAAATATTTACCTCCAAAGGGTGATTTCTCTATGCATTCTGGGTAAATACTTCTTGGTCCTCGTGGCCTTTGTGGTGTCTAGTAATGATGCACACACTTGTAGATGAGTTTGGCGTGTCTGGAACATGAGCCCATGTGTTATTGTTCACAACAGCAACAGGTGAGATAACAACTGGTGTGTGGAGCACTCCTGCGTCAAATAAATCCAGGTTGAACATGACGTTTATTTTTGTCTCTTTCAGACTCACTTGGAGAGACAGTTATTGTTTATGGGCCAGACTATCATCAGTGTTACCCCCCAAAGTGTTGCTGGTAGAAATGGGTCAGACATGAACATGACAGCGAGATGAGGACGGGTAATGACAGGAACAACAGATCCGGAGCTACTCGCTCCTCCTCACAGGCCGGGTCAGGCCAGGGTCGTTGTGTTCTGATAAAGATTAATGTTGACACGTTTTGGTTCCTGGGCAGACACACGAGAGGTAAACTAACCCCAACCCTAACTGCTGTCAAATATAGAAACATGTCAGCCCAACATCAACATAAATGCACTTTCACTTGATTTTAAAGTTTTTAACCTATTTTTGTTGAAGTTTGCTTGTTACAAAACATCAGTGTGAGTGTGTGTGTGTGTGTGTGTGTGTGTGTGTGTGTGTGTGTGTGTGTTCTTGTACTTACTACCTATTGAGAACCACCATGAGGTTTAAACCAACAGTGTGAGGTCATTTTTCAAAGTGAGGACATTTATATTGTCCTCACTTTTTTTAAAGCTTACCAGTTACTTTTAGTGGTATGAGTTTAATGAAGTTTTTGTTGAGGTTAGGGTTAGGACTAGATCAGCACTTGTTATGTTAGGGCATGGGTTAGGCATAGTGGAGTCACTAAAAGGAATGGAAGTCAATGGAGGGTCCTCACTATGATAGTGCGTGCGTGCGTGTGTGTGTTCTGTAGAGTAAAGGGGAATTCCGGCCAGGCCTCCATTACTCAGACAGCAAACAGACATTCTGACACACACTGAGGATTCCTGATCTCGTGCAAAGACACCGGTAAACTAACAACAATCACCTGTTTGGTTCAATATGGTTTCTATAAAAACTGTGTTTATCTGTTATTTTTGGACAAAAGCTGCTGCCTAAAGAACACAAAGGTGTTAACCCCATTTCTAAAGAGAAAACAGTGCTCCAGGACCGCCAAACAAGATGGCAGCTGTGTGATTCACTGTTAGCCATTCCTGAGTTTAAATAAAGAAAATTAAGATGATAGCCCATTCAACAACTGCTAAATAACTTTGTAGAAAGCAAGGCACTGTGTTCAAGAAAACAAAAATACATACAAGCAGGCACCTAAAACCAAAAAAGCCTCAACATTTAATGTCATCCTTTCACCATGACTGTCAGAATGAGTCCAAGTGAGCACAACAGTGGCTGTTGTTCAGTTCTGTGTGTGTTTCTGACGGCTGAAGGTCCGTTTAAAGGGTAAAATGTAGAAGTTTAAAAAGGAATATGTTGATAAAACAAATCAGTAACAAAATAACAGTTCTGACAGTCAGAGTGGACACACACACACACAACATGGCTGCAGGATATGAACCAACAACAGAGACTGTCTCAAACCCTTGTCAGATTGACATTCTGGAATATGTGTGGACAATTCAGTCCGGTTTTTAACCAGAACTGTGTTTTCAGACACACCACTTTTGTAACAGAACTTGTCCTTTCGGCTGCCTTCACACAGCAGGGAAAAGTTCCAGATGTCTGAGGGGGAGGGGGCGGGAAGGCCGTACGCGGGCGTACATGCGTCATTTACCCAAACAAAGCTATTCAGTCAAACATGGCCGACAAAGAGCTAGAATTCCTCTCACTGATCAGACTTATGTTAAGCATAATTCTGCGCACATGAAGACGCATAAGAGACCTGGATGATGAAGCTCAATGGTTAATAAAGGAATCATGGAAGCGGTGTGAAGCGCTCCGACGCGCGTCTAGGAGACGGTACCGTAGGAGGCGAGCTGCCATGGTTCGCCGCATGCTACAGGAGCGAGCAATCCGGCGTATATGGAAACATTCACGACCAAGTGGCGAAGTTTTCTGGTCAAACGCGTTGAAAAACTTTGGAGATGAGGAGTGGTATCAACATTTTCGAATGTCTCGCAGGACCTTCGACTACCTGTTAAGTTTGGTTAGGCCTGCTTTGACATGGAAAACTACAAACTGGCGCAGGCATTACAAACCTTCCCTCAGGCTAGCCGTTGTTATCTGGTGGTATGCCACACCGTGCAAATACAGAACCATAAGCTGCCCGTTTGGTGTGGGTATGTCCACTGTCTGTGGATTTTTGCGAGAGGTGACAAGTGTTTGCTGGAACGTTTCATTTCATTACCAAAGCTGGACCAGCTACAGGTCACACTGGATGGATCTGCTTCACGCGGCTACCCAATGTGTGGTGGAGCTATAGATGGAAGCCACATTCCAATCATTTCTCCGAGGGACGATCCAGCTTCATATCACAACAGAAAAGGCTGGCATTCCATTGTTCTGCAGGCTGTTGTTGACCACCGTTTCTGCTTTTGTGAGAGCATGAATTTTTATGTTGCTGTCAAGAGCAAATATACATTTAATACGTCCCTCTGTTGTTTGGGGCTGTAATGTTGCAGCACTAACGAAATGCTTTGTTCAGTTTCACAGATGTTTATGTTGGTTGGCCTGGTCGAACACATGACGCCAGAGTACTCAGCAAGTCTACCATCTTCATCAAAGCCGAACAACAAAACGGCTACCTGTTCTGCTGTGAGGTATGCCTCAACCTATAAATCCACACACACACACCTCTAATCTTTGTTTTCTGTCCTTCTAGATGTCCAGAGACATCAATGGTGTAGAGGTACCAGTTCATCTGATCAGGGATGCGGCATATCCACTGAAGAAGTGGCTGATGAAGGGGTTCACACAACACCATTGTCTGACGCCTGAACAAAGCACCTTCAACTATCGTTTAAGCTCTGCTCGGATGGTTGTTGAAAATGCATTTGGGCGGCTTAGGGGGCGCTGGACGTGTCTGGCCAAGCGTTGTGATGTGGACATTCACATCATGCCGGACATTGTGATTGCTTGTTGTATTCTTCACCATGTCTGTGAGATCAACAAAGACAATTACCTTGCTGACTGGAACACTGATGCCACTGAACTACCTGAACCTAATGTAGAAGCTTTGTATGTACCTCCAGTTGGAGGGGCACAGCAAATTCGAGAGGCAATCATGTCTGTACTTTAACTGCATTTCAAAGTGATTGTGCTTCTTGTCCAAAACTGTGTTATACATTCTGGGACTGTAACTATGTCAGCTTCCCCTAACTAAAAAGCATCAAACTTTAACAGTGTTAACCATTCTTCACATAGATCAGAATGCATTCTTAATTTCACCAAAAAAGGTTTTTATTTGCTAAGCAAAAAAGTATAAATAGACACTGCAAACTGTTGCACATGAAACACTCCAAATAGCAGCAGCAGGAAACTGAGTCATTGTAGGTTCCACACAGTAACAGCATTATAAATGTTGTCGTGCAAAATCTGTCGCTTCTCAAGTAAAAGCAAAGATTAATTAAAATGTGCAAAGCCATGTCAAAAAATTAAAACTCAATATCTCCCCCAAAAAATACTTCTAAAGGTTTAATATTCAAGGCTTGTATATAAAAAAACTGCTAATTTCACTAGATTAAAGGCTCAGTATTCAAGCATTGTACAAATAGCAATAGTAAAAAAAAAAAGTGTAAAAAAAAAAACTAGAAATTGGTCTCCAGATGGAGTACGTGGGGTGCAGCAGTCTGCACTGATGGAGCTCTGCAGGTCAGCATGTTACTTCAGCCAGAGTCTGTCTCTCTCATTTGAACTGGATTAAGGGGGCACCCTAAAACACAGCAGACAATATGGAAGGTGAAGGGACAACTTCCCAGGCGATGGACTACAAATGGTGGTAGTTTAGGCCCGGCATCCATTCGTGCTGCGGCCGATTGAACCTGTTCACAAGTTCACGCATCAAAGAGGTCACATCTTGGAATGCAGCTGCTTCTTGCCGCCTCAATGCCAAGTTTTCACGCAGATAATGCTCTACAAACTCCCTCTGCTCCTGCATCAATTCCTGGTCACGCTGATGGCTTCTCTCGTCCATCCATTCTAAGACTTGTCTCTCTTCCTCTTTTTTTGCCTTGGATTGCTGCATGCCGGCTGCGTTGGGGCGCTGCATGCCGGCTGCGTTGGGGCGCTGCATGCTGGCTGCGTTGGGGCGCTGCATGCCGGCTGCGTTGGGGTGCTATATGCTGGCTGCGTTGGGGCGCTGCATGCCGGCTGTGTTGGGGCGCTATATGCTGGCTGCGTTGGGGCGCTGCATGCCGGCTGCGTTGGGGCGCTATATGCTGGCTGCGTTAGGGCGCTGCATGCCGGCTGCATTGGGGCGCTATATGCTGGCTGCGTTGGGGCGCTGCATGCCGGTTGCGTTGTGGCGCTGCATGCCGGCTGCGTTGGGACGCTATACGCTGGCTGCGTTGGGGTGTTATATGCTGGCTGCGTTGGGGCGCTGCATGCCGGTTGCGTTGTGGCGCTGCATGCCGGCTGCGTTGGGGCGCTATATGATGGCCCTATTGAAAAAGACAGACATTAGTGTTGCATATATGCTTTAGTGTTTCAAGGTATTTTGTGCAGTGGGGTGATTATCTGAATTTGGTGCAATACAGGTTTACCAAAAAGACGAACAATTAAACTCAACGCAGATATAGTAACAAAATATATGTTCAAAATGGGACACAATCTGTGTCCTCCTATAACTGAATTTTTGGTGAGATTTCCAATAACTCTAACCCCCAATGTGCACGTAATTCAAAAAAGTCACCCAGCGCTTTTCTCATCACGTGCTCAGTAGGAGCAGTTTAGATACCAGCTTTAGATACCAGAAGTTAAAAGCCTGCTGCTTAGGTCTTAGTTGTCCGCAATTAATGTTTTTATAGCTACAAACTGTACATCTGCACACCCAGTCTTACAACAGCATCTGCTAGCTAACGTGAATATTTACCTGCTTGGGGCCTGTGGTTCTCGCTGCCGTCCATGGCGTCTTCTTGGGCCCTCTCACGATAGCTGCAGCTGGCCTCGGGGAAGTCCTCTGGTCGGTTGGAAGCCGCCATGCTTCCACACACCACTGCAGGGTTTGTGGTTTCTTGAGCACCCCATACAGCTTCACACAACTCGAAGTAGCTCCATTCCATCCTGTCGTTGCCACTTTTCCTGTTGTGGTCACATACCTCGTGGTATCGACGCTTTAATGACGTAAGCTTCGATATGGCCTGCTGTTTGCTTCGGTGCGTTCCGAGTTCACGCAACTGTGTTGTGAGGCGGTCGTAGGTGACAGAGTCTCCCCTCACCGTGAGTAGGTCGCGAATCTCGGAATCTGTCCAGTTGTTAGACATGTTGGAGATGCTCTGCAGAAGATGTTCACCTTCTTTCTGTTGGGTTTTTGCGCTCAGGAGGGACATCACGTGATATAACTTTCCGGTCACATGATGTATACGTAATTTAGGTGCGCTCAGCGTCCCCCGGTCCCCTCCTCCCTGTCCGGAACTGGACCTCACCAGTCTGAAGCAGCCACCCTGTCCGTAACAAGTCCGGTCCTGTTACTAGGGGCTTCGTCCGGTTTAATTACAGAAAAGGTTATCTGGATGTTTGTATTCAGACACAAAGGTCATACGGACAGAGTCCTGAACATTCCCGTTTTTCATGGCCTGTCTGAAGGGGGCTTCAGACTTTTCAGTTTCAGAAACCGTCTCTGATCTCCTCCTTCTGTCCTTGACAAACATCGTTGCTCACCACCTTCCTGAGTCAACAGGAAGCTACCCTGTTATGGTTTTTCTTTATTCTCTCCGTCTCTAGAGCCTGGAGTCTTCCTGATACTCTAATGTCCCCGAGGATCAGGTTAGATGATCCGAACAAGCAGAAAGGAAAAAAACATACTAGATGACAACCACTGGCTGAGCTCTGAGGGAACTGTTCTAACAGATCCATATCTGTGGTTTCTGGATCATCTCTGTGTGTTGTAGCGGCACAGTTTCGTTTTCCGCTGCCCTCAAAGTCAGGCTGCAGAACATGACGAGTCTTTAACCCGCTCTAACTCTTCATTCCTTCACATTCCTTTACAGGAAGGCTAAATTTTCTCAGGCCGCACACACACACACACACACACACACACACTGTAGAGCACCAACAAAAGGTAGGAATCCAGCAGAAAAAATGTTAACACCAGTTTCTCTCCTCCCCCTTAGCAACCCCCCCAGGGAGGGTCTAACAGGTCCTGCTAAAACACTCAGAGGAAACAGAAGTAGCAACAGAGGAAGAGGAGCTGGTTGTCCTCCAACAAAGACAGTCCTACTCACCAGATAGTTCATCTTGTCCCCGCAGCGGTGAAGTGGACGCCGTGACACTGAGACAGGGTTAGCTTGGTTCCTGAAACTCCTGGGTCCTTCTGAAGGAAAATATCCCCCAATCTCCCTAATCGCTCCTCCTCACTCCGCTCTGTGTCCAGCTTCCTCTTTCCTGTATCTGCTTCTGCCTTATTGTCAGTTTTCAACCAGATCCTGACATATTCTCCCACTTCCTGATCAACAAGAAAGAGTCTGCTGCGTGGCCCATTTACCACCACCCTTCTGTCCCGTCTTTCTTCCCAGATCGCTCCCACCCTCTAGGAGGAAAAGAGGGAGGAGTGTGTGACTTGTGACGTCACCTCCTGCTGGATCCCTCTGCACTCTGGCCAGTCTCTCCCTCCCTCATTCATGATTCACTTCTTGTAAGTTGACAAAGTAGCGTTAGCTGCTGTCCGTGTGTGTTTCTGTTGCTTTAGTCTGGTTGTGTCTCTGTGTGCTGCAAAACACAGCTTCTCAGGATCGGTGCAGGGTCTGCACTATGCATAAAAATAAATGTTAAACACTAAAAACATGTTGGGATTTGTTTAGTAGAAGGAGGGCATTATTCTGTTCCCAATGTTGTTTAAAATTCCACAAAGTCCGGGCGTGCTTTCCTACTTCCCTTCTCTCACTATTGTTGTCTCCAAATCCTGGTTCAACTGAGATGACCTCGATCAGTGTTCTCAAACTCATCAGGATGATGAACCCAGGTTAAAAGTTCAGGAACAGCGGAGAAGATCTGGTTCATCCATCTATTGGATGTGTGCACTTTCCAAACATCACTGCCTCCGCCTGGTCTTAACAATAGGTCTATTGTGTCAAGTTCCACAGCCCTAATGCCAGCTATCCAAAAGAGTACGCGCACACACACACACACACACACACACACACACACACACACACACACACACACACACACACACACACACACACACACACACACACACACACAGGAAAACCTTTATCCTCCATGACCTGGGCACTGAGTGGCCTCTCTGACAACAACTGCATCTGTCTGACTGACCTACAAGTGGCACAACACTGCCACACACAGACTGATGGAAATAACACACACACGAATGAGAAGTCCTTGCAGGTCGAGACCAATTGGAATGTTGGGCCTGGGTAGGAGCAGGGGCGCAGATAGGATTTTCAAACTGGGGGGTTCCAATGTACCCTCCCCCAAACACACACACACACACGCACGCACAAACACATACACAAACTATTGCAAGCGCCTTAACTAGAGCTCAGTCAGTTTGTGTAATTTCATCCAATGGTTTACGTAAAAACTAACTATTATATACGTGTTTGAAGCCATTATGCAACAAAGCTCTGCCTGATCAACACTATCCAAATCAGTCATTTGTTATTCTCCCAATCGATTACTAACCAAAACCTCATGCTTTATGCAAAACATTAAATGATTTTCAGCATACCAATCTTTACAGAAAACATAAAAGCCCTAAAAAACTGCACATAAAATATAATAAGAAACAAAATTCACTTATCACTTAGAGCAGTAGTTCCCAAACTTTTCAGCCTGACCAACATATGTTCCTTCGTATTTTTACGTTATTTAGAATTTTTCATTATATTTGGAAAGTTTTTATTTATATATAAATATATGTCTCTTTTTAAATTTTATATTTTACTTTATTTATGATTATGTGTTGCCATGCGATGTACTGGCTCTCTGTCCAGGGTGTACCCTGCCTGATTGCCCGTTGACCGCTGGTGATAGGCACCTTACTCTGAGAGGCGCTATACAAGTGCGGATCATTTATCATAACGAGTAAGTCCCAACACTGACAACAACGTACTGAAACTAGAACCAACATGCATAAACAGACAGATCGGTCCCGCCTTACACTGATGGTCTTTTTTAAATACGCAGTAATCGTTGCTTGTCTTTTTTGCTTCATCCTGCGTCCTAGCAGCAACCACTTGGCACCTCTGGAGTTGGTGTTTGTTTATGTCATGCTGCATTCAATGCAATTGGAAAAAGGAGCTTCAAGCGTGTAACCTCCGATTTTGTTTTCTTTCTGGCCTTAGTGCGGGGGACGGATCGGGGTCGATCTGAATCTGGGGGGGACAGATCCCCCCCTTCCCCCACCCTATCTGTGCAGCTGGGTAGGAGTGTCATTTCACTTGCTAGGATATTAAAGTCATAGTCTTTCCCTTTCTTGCCTTTTGTTTTTGCCCCAAAAACAATTTTGAGTTTTTAACAGACAATCAGCTGTAATCTCCTTAAATATGGAATTTCTTCTCCCTTCTCCACAGCAATAGTCAGAGACACTGGGCACTGACTTGAGTCTAGAGTCAAAGTCTTATTAATTACATCTTCATGGTGTTTGAGGCACATGACCATCTCTGATACAACATTGATGTTTTTAATCTGTAATAAAAATTATTATCTTAATTTCTTTTACAATATGTCGGCTGTAAACAGCCAAAAGAGGACAACCTTCAAACTCATTCCCTCAAATGCAGTATTTAAAAATGGCTACTAGAGAATCCAGATTCAGATTATTCGGGTCTGACTGAACTTTGCCCGAGTGGTCATTCCTACAGAATCCGATTAACTTTATTGATCCCTCGGGAAAGGTTCCCCTGGGAAATTCCCTTTTTCATCAGTAACAACACTGACTTGTCCAGCAGTGGTAACACATCTAACACTGATGAAAGGGACACAGGAAAAAATGCAGAAAAAAAGAGAACACCCTTCTTCCAGCCCTGGGGGTTCTGGTCGAGGTGGAGGCCTAGCGATTGTCTTTAGAGACCATCTTCCATGTAGCTCTATAACCTCTGGTCGCTTTGCTTCCTTAGAACTGCAGTTGATTAAAGTCGGGCATAAGGACTTGTTTTACTGTGCTGTGGTATATCGTCCACCTGGTCCAAACAGTTATTTCCTTCAGCAGTTTGGTGACTTTTTATCCTCCACTGTGAAGCTGTCCAGACTAGTAAAAGTTGGTGATTTCTACATTTACATTGATGATTCCTCAGACAGTGTTGCCATCTCTCTCTCCCCCTCTCTCTCTTATATATATATATATATATATATATATATATATATATATATATATATATATATATATATATATATATATATATATATATATATATATAATACCTTTAAGCCTGCTCCCGGTGGGACGTGCCTGGAAAACCTCACCAGGGAGGCGTACAGGAGACATCCTGATCAGATGCCCGAGCCACCTCAACTGGCTCCTGTGGATGTGAAGGAGCAGTGAATCTACTCCGAGCCCCTCCCAGATGACCAAGCTTGTCACCCTATCTCTAAGGGAGAGCTCAGCCACTCTGCGGAGAAAACTCATTTCAGCGGCTTGTATACGCGATCTTGTTCTTTCAGTCACTACCCAAAGCTCATGACCATAGGTGAGGGTAGGAACGTAGATCAACCGGTAAATCGAGAGCTTCGCCTTCTGACTCAGCTCTCTCTTCACCACGACAGACCGGTACAATACCCAAATCACTGCAGATGCAGCACCAATCCGCTTATCGTTCTCACGCTCCAGTTTTCCCTCACTCATGAACAAGACCCCGAGATACTTAAACTCCTCCACTTGGGGCAGGACCTCATCCCTGACCCGGAGAAGGTATTCTACCCTTTTCCGAATCAAGACCATGATCTCAGATTTAGAGGAGCTGATACTCATCCCAGCTGCTTCACACTCGGCTGCGAACTGCTCCAGCGAAAGCTGAAGATCACGTTCTGATGAAGCCAACAGGACCACATCATCTGCAAAAAGCGGAGACCTGATCCTCAGGCCACCAAACGGATGCCCTCCACACCTTAACCTTCCATAAAGGTTATGAACAGAATCGGTGACAAAGGGCAACCTTGGTGGAGTCCAACTCTCTTTGGAAACGAGCCTGACTTACTGGCGACAATGCGGACCAAGCTCTGACACCGGTCATACAGGGACCTAACAGCCTGTATCAGAGGGCCTGGTACCCCATACTCCTGGAGTACCCCCACATCTCTGGTCTGCCGCCTCAACAATGAAGACACGTAACAGTCCATTCGGACTCAATATCCCCCGCCTCTCCCGGAACATTTTGGAAGTTCTGTCGGAGGTAGGAATTGAAGCTCCTTCTGACAGGAGACTCTGCTAGACATTCCCAGCAGACCCTCACGATATGTTTGGGCCTGCCTGGTCTGACCGGCATCCTCCCCCACCATCGGAGCCAACTCACAACCAGGTAGTCAGTTGACAGCTCCGCCCCTCTCTTCATCCGAGTGTCCAAGACATGCGGCCGCAGGTCAGATGAAAACAACAACAAAGTCGATCATCAAACTGCGGCCTAAGGTATGCTTGTGCCATGAGCACATATGGACAACTTTATGTATGTGTATTTATGTTGAGGGGAACATGAATGCCAATGTGGCATGATGACATAATTGATATGCAAATTAGCACGTAACATCATCTGGCGACGGCTGGGTGACTTTCTGGGTCAACTTCAGCTAATTTCTGTGAGGGGAGTTGGCAACAATGGCCTCAGACCACTTTGCCATGAGCTTCTCCAGCCTCATAGACTCCTTCAGCTTTAGTCAGCATGTTGGCAGTGGAGAGGAACAACATCAAACATGGCATCAAACAGCAATAACAATGTGATTTCCTTATGATTCCAGTGTTAAACCGGGATAAAAGTACCTGTAACATTTGTAGATAGAAAAAATATCCATAATTATTTGTATTTTTTTCTTCTTGATTAAAAAAAATTGTCATTTTATTTTTAATGATGACAAATCTCTTCTAGTAGATTTTTAGGGGAAAGAAAAAAACTTTAATCTCTGAAAAAATTCAGATCTCATCTACTAACAGAGATCCTTAAGAGTTATTTTTCCTCAAAATTTTGAGAAAATGTAATAAAGGCTTCAATTTCATTGTCTCATTATTTTTTATATGCTTCAAAGGGTTTAGCTTGTTCGTATCTGAAACAACAACCTCAGCACCTTGTCTAAACCTGCTTTTGACCAACATTTTCTGCAGCGTTTCATATCGGTCTCTGCACCATGACATGATAAAATGACTCTGAGAAACAACAAAGACGATCAGAGTCTCTCAGAACACTTTTAACCCAAGAGTCTTTATTCTGACAGCATTTTCTCCACCACGATCATCTGTCCTCTGCGCTCGCTGACAGTTTATGCAAGATTGAAACTTGGAAGACTGTCAATATTGTGGGACATGAGTCTCAATTTACAGGTGTAAAGACAAAAGTGACGTCTGGTCACTGAAGTCATGGCCAGACTAAGTATTCACGCATACAGGATGGCATGCCAGGATAATAAATAAGAGTTTCTCAGTGAACTTGCTCTTTAAGATGTTCACTGTCTGTATTATATGTATTCTAACTTTTAAACTGAGTTTATTTTTGTACTTTTCAGGCAAAGAGACAGGCACTGAATATTAGCCTCTAGCTAACGTGGGTACATTTACATTAGAATTGTTTAAATGTTAATAAAATAACAGATACTTCATGTATTAAGTGCATAAGAAATTATTACCAAACAAATTATTAATGCTATTTATAAAACCAGATAACCCATATAATTTCAGACTTAACTTTAGGCATGCATATTTTAGAACAATATTAAAGTCATTTTGTATTTCTGTTACGGGTGTAAGAGTTTGGAATAAGCTAAGTGAGGATCTAAAGCAAAGTCCCTCATTGCATAAGTTTAAAGAGAAGTATAAAAGAATTATACAAATTAATTACATGGGGGAGGAAAAGTTGTAAGGGTGTTGCATTTGTTTGTAATTGTCTATTGTTGGTGAACTGGGAGCTGTGAATATTGGAAAGGGGGTGCGGGGGGGGGGGGGGGGGGGGGGGGGGTAAACATTAAAAAATGTAAATTTTGTTTGTGTGATTGAGGATAAAACATGTTATAAGAAAATGGCTATGACACTCAGTGTAGGAAAAATATTTTTTTGTTTTGTTTTATCTTTCTTGAAATTTGATTGGGGGGATTATCTAAGCTGCCAGAGCTTCTTTCCCTTCCTATTGAACATGTTCCACATACATACATACATACATATATATATATATATATATATATATATATATATATATATATATATATATATATATATATATATATATATATATATATATATATAGATATGCATATGTATGGGTTTCTTTTTGAATACTTTTGGAATACTTTAATTTGTCTATTGATTTACATGCTCAATAAAGAAGGAAGAAGAAGAAAAAAATAATAATAAAAAAAAAACACTGTCACTTTAAATTTTTAAATTGTAAATACACCAGGCTTAAACAGATGCTTAGTACCCATACTGGAACAGTGTGTCAAAAACTGTCAACATTTACACCATCGTCATGTGAACTCAGAGAAGCAGGAATCAGGATGTGTACAACCCAAATACAACTCTGAAGCGACACGAACTCTAAGAACAAAAGAAGAAACAAACAAATCATTGTGCTGCCGAGACGAAAACATGATTTAAAATTATTTTAA